CCCCCCCCCCCCCGGCAACATTGTGCCCACCCTTAAGAAAATTACATAAATTTAAGTTTACACAGTTAAAAAAGGTATCAATATATTTTTCAAAAAAGGGTTCTTTAGGGGGGCACAATTTTATTTTTTGCACGCTGACGCCTGCAAAATATGCCCCTCCTACACAAATGCTCTCGTATGCCCCTGTTTATGACATTGAATAATAACCAATTCAATTCATGACTTTTTAAACCCATGAAAAAAATTGTGATATTTTAAAATAAATTAAAGAAAATTTTTGTACAATGTTGGTTTTCAATTTACAATTTATTCGTATGTAAAAAACCTAAAAAATCCAATGAATCAGGAATTTTTAGGTTTTTCCTAAACGTAGATTTAGGTTTGAAAAAATCCTATCATTTCTTAATTTTTGGAATTTTAGGTTTTACATATACGTAAAAATACGTATTTTTCAAGTTATAAAACTAAAATGTTAAGAAGTGAACTATAATTTAGCATGGGCATTTTTCAGAGGCGTATTCAGGGGGGGGGGGATAGGGGCTAAGCCCCCCCTGGACCAGTGAACTCTATTGAATTCAGGGGGTTTTCAGACCCCCATGGATGCTGAACTCCCCCCCGGAACAAATTCCTAAATACACCCCTTCCTTCGTTTCTATACAACTAATTCCACAAATTTCTTAAATCCATATTCATTGATATTAATTATTTTTAATCGAATCCAATAATCTGTCTACAGAATTTCACACCATCAACATTCCTTCATCTATAGCTGTATCCATCTACATTCATATATGCAATTTGTCTGTATTTTCGACAATTACGTATTCAATATGTGTTATACTGTATACAATTACCATTATACCTGTTACAAGACTGTCAAAATTTTTGAAACATTGATTTTTCCAAAATATTTCATTAAATTTCTTACAGAACAATTCTCTTAAAAAGAGTACAAAATATTTTCAAATTCTAACTTAAAAATGCGTTTTTGTGCACGTTGAGGTTTCGTGAATAAATTAACAAGTAAACAATTAAAAGTAAACAAAAACTAAAAAATATGTAAAAATACGTAAATTAAAAAACCTAAAACTTTGAAAAATTTCTTGGTATGAAATTTACGAAAATATACGTATTTTTAGGTTTGCATCTAACTTTCAGACTCTAAAAAATACAACTTTTTAAGTAAAGCAAACCCCTAAAAATACGTAAAAATACGTAAAATAAAAACCTTAAAACTTTGAGATATTACTTGGTATGAAATTTACGAAAATACGAAATATACGTATCTTTAGGTTTGCATCAAACTTTTAATTACTCTGAAAAAATACAATTTTTTAAGTGAAGAAAAAACCTAAAAAATAAGAAAAAATACGTAATATAAAAACCTAAAAATTGAAACATATTGGTGTGAAATTTACGAAAATATACGTATTTTTAGGTTATGCATCAAACTTTTAAACTCGAAAAAAATACATTTTCTAAAGTATAAAGAAAAAACCTAAAAAATGCGTAAAAATACGTAAAATTAAAACCTAAAAATTTAGAATAATTACTTGGTAAAAAGTATACGTATACTTTTTCGTATAAATACGTTTTTGGAAAATCAAAGCATGATTTAAAAAAATTGTTTGGTATGATAAATACGTAAAAGTTCTTTACCCAAAAGTTGAGCATACGCATTTATACGTAAAAATACCGCGCGTATACCTATATATAGAGACTTTGGTATTTTTAGGCTTCCGGGTTTATAGTAGGGTGACTGACGGTAATGTTACATCGTCTATACGCAACATCCCCCTACTGAACTTCTGACCTACTAACTTTCCGACCTACAGCAATATCGGACCTACGCCAGCTGTTTATGTTTGTATTATTTGAGGGTTTGATTAGGTTAAGACGATTTCTGGGCCGAGCGCTGCGGCTAGGGGGCCGGGCGCTGCGACCACAAGTCCATATACCAGCTGTAAAACCACTTCCTAGTTGGTCGGATGTGTAGTATAGCGGATTTGGCGTAGGTCAGAAGTGGAGTATCGCGGATTTGCGTAGGTCGAAAAATACACCACTTTGACTGACACCGGTAAGACACCGGAAAGAGAACTTTCAGAAAACAAAGACGACCAAGCTTAATATACATATTTTAAAATTTATGTTTTTCAAAAAATTGTTTTCAAACGTAAAAATGTTTTAAAGCTATGATATTTTTTTACACTTCTTCAGCTATTAACCCATTTTAAATAATTTTACACACCCCTGAATTCCATCAATGCCGCAATACAATCAACAAAATTTCCACAGCAGCACGTGAACTATTAGCGATGAACATTGTACTGTGTAATGTGAAGATTGAAGAATGAATTCAATGGATCCAGTTGCTTCTGTTAAAGTTACAATATAGTCAAATAAGAAAATTTAAAATTCTATGAACGTGAATTTTCAAAGTGTATACATGTGTTTTTACATTTCTCTCACTTGATCATTACATTATTATGTTTTCTTTTCCAGAGTCCTTAAACTTATCCTTAATCGCTTCAAGATGGTTAGGGAGGACAAGAGCGCCTGGAAGGCTGGATATTTCGAGAAGTTGGCCACCCTCCTCGAGGAATACCCTAAATGCTTCATCGTTGGGGCTGACAATGTCGGATCCAAGCAGATGCAGGTGACGTCTTAAACTTAATTATATAATTCGGTACATTCCCAGAGAACGAGTTTTGGACCCCCCCCCGGGTCCCTTCCCCCTACCCAGGGTAGCAGTTAACTCTAGTCTAGGGTTTTAGAAATCTTTAAGAAATTGGACTTTACTCCATTATCTTCTCAAAAGCACCGTGTCGACCTTTCATGTCAACCCTGGTCGTCAGTAGAAGTAGATCGACTTGTTTCTGGGTGTGATTAATTTACTCTTAGTGAGATTAGTCTCAATCAGATCCATACATTGTTTAATTTTTTTGGTATTTTCTATCGTTCGGTATTTAAACCCCCTACCATGACGCCCAATTTTTCTAATTCATCTTGTATCATTTTATCGGTTCAGAAGCATTTACCCCCAGAAGTGGGGTGAGAAAAATGAGTCATTTTGCCGCCGGTGTCCTGCATTTGTTAACTTACCTGCGACAGCTCACCACCCCTGATGTGAACATTTAAAACGCATTGTTAAGACTTAACATATCAATAGTAAACGTTCAAGTTTTTGCGGATCCCAAGGATCTGGATTTAAGGGTGAAAGATCAACCAAAAACTTGAAAAAAAACTTTTTCACTCCTAAAACCCAAATCTGAACTTTTGAACAAAGAGAATATAAAAATTTCGTTTTTTATGAATGGTTCATCAAGTTTTAGGTTAAAAATAAGCGAAAAAAATAAAACAACAAATTCGAAAAAATTATTAAAAAAAACTCAGTAAATCTTAAACAAATGACCCGGATCCGGATTTGGATCCATTTTTTTCCAGTGCGGATTCAGGATCCGGATCCGCATCAATAATAAATGGATCCTAAGCACTGATTTGTTCTGTATAAAAATATATACATGTATATTTTTTAGTTCGTTTGTACTATCCAATTGTATATAAAGATAAATTAATTCTCTAATCATTGCTTTTTGATGCCTTAAATTGTATTTAAACTAAACTATCTCAGGGCTGACAACCGGTTAATTTTTCTTCAGATACTTATTTTCTGAAATTCATAAATGTTCCTGGGGAGTAAGATTTAATTAATTTGATCTGTATTTGGGAAAATGTAAATTATGATCTGTACGTGGTAAAAGGTTGTTAGTTATGTGGGGGGGGGGGGGAGTTTCCTCAATGGGACTGAAGCTAGGTTTTTTTTGTTATAACTTATTATCATTTTAGGAGATCCGTATCGCCCTCCGTGGTAAGGCTGTTGTGTTGATGGGTAAGAACACCATGATGCGCAAGGCCATCAGGGGACACTTGGAGAAGAACCCCGAGCTCGACAGGTAGAAATACTTAAGCTGGGGTACACGTGAATTAATCCCCTCACTCCTTACTGTGTGTAAGCTCAAACATATTTTAGGGTTCCTAAATATTGGGGTAGAGATTCATACTGGGGAGAAATTAAAACTTACAATTGAGTGAGAACATTCGTTAGTAAATTATTTTTTTTCTCCGTTATCAAATGTCCTAGACTATTTTCTTATCCTTCATTTCAAAAATTACAATTATACGCGTCCGGTATGGTTGGACTGTATTTTATTTAATTCTCACGTTGAATCGCACCATCTGTCCTAACATGGTCAAGTTGGTCGGAAAGATGAGATATACTAAGCTCCTAGATTACTACAGCTACTACCCCCAGATCTCTTCATGGGGTCTGGTTCATAGTAATTTTGGAAACATTTCTATTGTTATAAAGCATTTTCACACATGAATATCAAGCCTTTAAGATAACGTTAATATTGATTTTTTATTTATCATTTCAGGCTTCTGCCTCACATCAAGAACAATGTTGGGTTTGTTTTCACCAAGAACGACCTCACTGAAGTCCGTGATCTCCTGGTCGCTAACAAGGTTAAGGCCCCTGCTAAGGCTGGTGCCCTTGCCCCCCTGGATGTCGTTGTCCCTGCCCAGAACACCGGTATGGGTCCTGAGAAGACTTCTTTCTTCCAGGCCTTGAGTATCCCAACCAAGATTACCAAGGGTACAATTGAGATTATCAGTGATGTCGATCTGATCACAGCTGGAGATAGGGTTGGTATGTCCGAAGCTACTCTCCTGAACATGCTGAAGATGTCTCCCTTCACTTACGGTCTGGTTGTGCAGAAGGTCTACGAGGCCGGATCAGTCTTCGACCCCGCTATCCTCGACATTACCGAGGCTGATATTAAGGCCAAGTTCATGTCCGGAGTCGCCAGCGTCGCTGCAGTCAGTCTCGAGATCGGATACCCTACTATGGCTTCTGTGCCCCACTCTCTGGTGAATGGCATGAAGAACCTGTTGGCTATCGCTGCCGTCACCGATATCACCTTCAAGGAGGCTGAGATGATCAAAGAGTTCTTGGCTGACCCTAGTAAGTTTGCCGCCGCTGCTCCAGCTGCCGCCGCTGCTGCTCCCGCAGCTGCTGCTGCCAAGCCTGCCGCTAAGGTCGAGGAGGAGGAAGAAGAAGATGATGATATGGGATTCGGTCTCTTCGATTAACTCGAAATCTCTTTAACAAGGGTTTTAATCCTTCCAAGGCAAATAATATTTTCTGATTTCAGATTGTGCTTTGACCCGTTTCGTGTCTCATATCGACTTAAAAATGCGTTACGTGGCCGCTGCACTTCTGCTCGCTCTCGCCGAGGATAAAATTACCGCCGAGAATATCGAGAAGATCCTGAGTTCTGTTGGTGTGGAAAGCGATAAGGAGAAACTGGCATTGGTAAGGAACACATTAAACAGAGTTAAAACCGCGTCGCTGAACCGCCAAAAACCGGTTCCTATTGAGTGCAGGTTCAAATCGCAATCCAATCTCAAACCAACCATATTTTAATTCGGCTACAGGTCTTTTATCCTACATTAATGAAATTACATTGATGAAATGATAAAAAAGTAATGTTTTTCCCTGAACCAATTAACATCAAATGGTTGGTGGGAGCTGGGAGTGGAGTTATTTTAAGGAAATGGTTTTAATTTACCAGGGACATAATTTATTCCTAGGACCTTAATACAATTTACGCTTAGTTTTATTTTTTTTTTCCTAGGACCTTAACACAATTTACGCTTAGTTTTTTTCATGAAATATAGCGTGGTTCTCCATGCTTAAACTGTTCAGTTATTTGATTTAACATTGCACATTGTTTAGGTTGTGAAACAACTTGCCGGTAAATCTATCGACGAGCTCGCTGCCGCTGGCCGATCTAAGCTCGCAGCCATGCCTTCAGGTAGACTTCGTTTGCTAATTATTTTTTGTCTGAAAGCGTGAAGATAAGTGACCCTCCTTTCAAAAATGAAATGTCCGATTTACAACAGTACCCTTGAAAAGTGATGAGAAGTGTGAAAGATACCGTCGTTTTTATCTCTTGCGCAGGTCACTTTCGCAGAGAACCCTAAAATGAAAATAGATAGTTTAAGGAAACAAAAACAAGCATCTAATTTGATCAGACTAAGCTTTAAGGGTACCGTTGTAAATCGGGCGTTATCATATTTGCATAAAGAATATCTTGAAATTACGGTTACATATCCTGTAATTATATTATTCCGGGACATAGTCTGATCTCTTAGTTTTACTTAGTTTTCTCGCTTCAGAATCGCACCACTAGGTCCTAATAAAATCGAGTAGGTCGGATAGTTGAGATAAATTAAATTCAGAACCCATTCTACTCTAACCAACATGGTTCCTGTACAAGTAATTCTGAATCAAATTCACCACGTACTCATCATGGTTTGGATGTGGAAAGTTTTTACGTAATTTCAAGTAAATATTTTAATGCCAGAGTCACAACGGTACCATTTATTTTACGTCTGATCAAGTATGACATAAATATCTATGTTGAGGTTTGAACCCTTTTCCGTACCGTTGCAAATCTGACACTGCCATCCTTGCATGGAGGGTCACTTTTAGCAATTAAGAAAAAAGTAATTAGTCTTTACAGTGTGCTGGTCACTGAAAATAAAACTTTATTTTCTTCTCGATTAAAAGAATCGCACCACTAGGTCCTAATATGATCTAGTTGGTCGGATAGTTGAGATAAATTAAATTCAGAACCCATTCTACTCTAACCAACATGGTTTCTGTACAAGTAATTCTGAAACAAATTAACTAGTTTATTTTGTTAAGTCTATGGTACTAGGCTAATTCTAACCAACATGGTTTCTGTACAAGTAATTCTGAAACAACAGAAGACTAATCGAAGTTAAGTTAAAACTTCACATTTGTAAGACAAACTGTCAAAGTTTAAAATAACTAAAATGTCAAGTTTCTTTTTGACTTAAACAACCTTGTTGAAAACATTTGGTGCACAGTGAAATTAGGCGAATTTAAAATGCCTTTTAATTTCATTAAATAAGAGTGATGTCTGTCTAACTTTCATTTTCATCAAATCAGTGTGATGTCTTTGTCTAATTTTACCAACACCCTTAAATCTGAATATCGTCTGTTCTCTATCTGAAATGGTATATATTTTTAGTAATAAAACTAACTTAATTTTGTAATTTTTTATTGTCGCTCAAGATCGAAATTCAAATTTTATTCGTGCTTTCAAAGCATTAAAATCGAAATAGTGAAGCTTTTTTCGTGCTTTCAAAGTATTTTAATCGTTTTACTTGATACAGGTGGTGCTGCCGCCCCTGCTGCTGCTGGAGACGCACCTGCCGCCGCCGGTGGTGCCGCCCCCGCTGGCAAGAAGGAGGAGAAGAAGGTTGAGGAGGAAGAAGAAGAAGATGATGATATGGGATTCGGACTCTTTGATTAATTCCGATAAAGCTGTTCACATCTATTTTGTAAACTTCCTCGTAACATTCAACGGAATAAAATGGAAAATAAAAAACTGAAATTATTTTCAATCTTTCAGATTAAAGATGGTTGTAGAAGAGGATTATTTCCCCCGAGGGAAACAAAAGGCAGGATTTATTTAAACTTGTTAAATTACGTTCTTAATATTTTTAACAAAGCAAGACAAAGTCCTAATTAAATTAGAACTTAATTTTTGTCTGGCAAATGGATCATACAGGGTGTCCCATATCAAATTAGACCGCGTCAATCTAGTCTAAATTACGATTTGGGAACGATTCAGAAAATTTAAGAAGGATTAATCATTTTGATAAATTTAATAAGTCTAATAGAAATTTTTTGCAGAAAATGCTACATTTTTTTGAGTAATATGTGCGTAATTTGGCGTTAAAGAGGATATAATTTAATATGATAAGGGACGCTCTGTAGCATAATTAAGCTTATCTCATGCGGATGAAATTTCCTTTCCAGATTTGGAATTTATGGAATAGACGTAAAATATTCGTTAAGTATTAAGTCTTATTTTGAGCAAAAGTTAGTTTGATATGATGTTGACTATTGAAGGCACAACGAATGCCTGTGTCGTACGTGTCGTGAAGGATGCCTTGGGAAACTTTTGTTTAGCAATGTTAACCTAAGAATTATCTTAATTCCGTGTCCTGCGACAATATATCGGATACTTATCTAACCTTTTCAATACCAAACTTTAATTAATTTAAAAATTGATGTCAATATATTTTTAAAAGAAAACAAATTTACTTGTAAAGATAGATTAATGTAAGTTAATTCTGGTTTTAACGTATTTTTCAAGCGTTACACTAGTTTATACAAACTTTCAAACCTAGTTTGCTCCAGTAAAATCATTTATTAAGTAATCAGTTGCAACAATTGATAATAAAAAATCTGAAGAAATCCGAATTCACTCGTTTAAAGACTTACAAGAACTTATCGTAAAGTAAGATTGATTCCTCATTTTTGGTTTAAAATGCCGTCGCAAGACATGTTCATAGTCCAATTCATTTTTATTCTGGATTATAAAAAATGTTTTTCGTTTTAACAAAAGAAAAAAAATTTAGGTCCAACATGAGCTTTAAAATATTTTAAACATCGACCGATTCTACCTTATATAGTGTTAAAAAACCTACCCCCCCTCTCAGATGTTAGGCATTTTTAGGGTTTTATTTACTAAGTTAGGAAAAATAATTGCATTTTTGGGAGGAATAAACAAGGGGGCCATACACATATTTTAAATACGAGATTAAATCCAAACAACTAGAGGTTTTTTAAACCTTTGTGTCAATGCGTAGTTTGTTCTTCAAAAACAGAAATCGATTTTAAAAAAAGCGCGTAGGATCCTTTTAATTTTGATGCGGATCCGCACTGGATCCAGGTCATAAAGATTATTGTAAGATTTACTGAAATTTTTAACAAAGCAGAATTGTAAAGTTATTTTTCTACTTTATTCGCCCATTTTTATCGTAAAACTTGATAAAACATTCAGAGATTTGAAAATTTGTAAAATCTCTCTTGTTTTTCAATATTTTAGATTTGGGGTTGAAGAGTAAAAAAGTTTTTTTTTCAGTTTTTGTTTGATCTTTTTCTCTTTGGATCCGTATCCAGGAAACTATGATCTTGCGGACCCAATGGATCCAGATCCTTAGCACTATTTTTTCTTGCGTTTAATCTTTAATCTTTAATCTAAATAATTTAATACTTTTTGAGTTTGAAATTTTTGAAATTACTGTTATTTTTATTTCATATATATAATAATTATAGTTTAACAAATATCTGGTCCAGAGTGAGAAGGTGGAGGGAGAGGAGAAGGTTGAAGACTTGAACAAGGAGAAGAAGTTCGTTAATATCTTCTCCGAGAAGGACACTAATGTCAAACTTCAGAAGAAAAAAAAAATTAAAGGAAAACATTTTATTTTAAAATTCTTAACAGCTTGTGTGTGTATATATAAATTAAGGTGGTTTAAGGTGTTCATGAAAACAGGTTACCCAGTGACCATTTAGTTTTGCAAATTGAATAGTAATCATTTCGATGGTCGACCACTCTAGAGTATCTTAAAACTAAACTCTCGAGTTTTCTTTTTGGGGTCTGTACATTTGTATAGATTTCGATTAAAGAGATTCGAAAAAATTAAATGAAACAAAAAATATTAAACAAAAATATTGATATCGACATAACCTGCCTAACCCAATTCGTGAAACCTGGGTTTCAAAACTGGTTTTCATAACGATACCCTGTCTTAAGTTTTGGACTCGGAGAGAAAAGTATAGGAATGACTACACATGTCGTCCAATGTTGTAATAAAATGAATGTTCAGGAGTGAAGACTCAAGTCTCCTCCGTCCTTTTTGTTAAATCTGTGCCAACCCTCTCCTACAGTGATCTCAAACAGGTAAGGGGGGGGGGGGGGGGGGATAATGTCAAAACTACCGTAATCTATCTGTCTTTAATATGAAGAATATCATTTTTTTCTCTTTATGAAAAGGTTGAAACAAATAATTATCTGGAAGGACATCAAAGAAGTTTTTCAGATTATTTTTTTTTCATTCCACCTTCATTATAAACAAAACAAATGGAATTATTTAAATTAGGGATATAAATATTTTGCGGTTTTTACCATTTATGTTTACAAAAAACTGCTTATATTTAAAGGGAAAAAGTTGGAAGGAAAGATAAATTTTATTTAATACAACAAAAAATTGTCAAATCAAATATCAATATCATCAAAAAACTTCTAATTACGGAATAAAATACAGAACGTAAAAGCAAAAGGTTTTTTATTATTATTTTTTTTTCTCCTAGGGAATGGTCTTGTCTGGAGTAGTTAGTGAGGTCGCTGAGTTCGAGGTTCGGATATCTCTTCCCGGTCACTTGGTGGCCTCTCTTCCCATCACCAATATCAGCTCAGCGTACACTGACGCACTCAGGTAAAAACGTACAGAGCCGCACTTTGGTTAACAGTGTACACAAACGCACTGTAGTAAACAGCAAAAATAGACTCACTTTAGTTAACAGCGTACATAAACGCACAAATAATTAGTGTACATAAACGCAAAAGGTCAACAGCGTATACAGACGCAGGAAGGATAATAAAATATTAATCTTGAAACTATTAAGGAAAGCAGCTGAGGCTTTTGAGAATAAAATATCTATCTTTTAACTGTAAAGGAAAGGTGCTGCAGTTCCAGAGAAAAAAATATTAATCTTGAAACTGTTAAGGAAAGCAGCTGAGGCTGCTGAGAATAAAATATCTATCTTTAAACTGTAAAGAAAAGCTGCTGCGGACCCTGAGAAAAAAAAATATTAATCTTGAAACTATGTAGGAAATCTGCTAAAGCTGCTGAGAAAAAAATATTAATTTTGAAACTGTAAAGGAAAGCTGCTGAGAATAGAATATTATTCTTGAAACTATAAAGAAAAGCAGCTGAAGCTGCTGAGAATAAAATATTAATCTTGAAACTGATGAGGAAAGCTGCTGAGAATAGAATATTAATCTTCAAACTTTAAAGGAAAGCCGCTGAAGCTGCTGAGGATGATGGCGATGATGATGTGGTTCCTCTCTCCTCACTCTTCACTGTGGGACAGTTCCTTGTTGTGGCAGTTGTATCATGTGAGAAGGTGAAGGAGAGCAAGAAGATGGGGGGGCACACAAAATATCCCCTTTTCTTATTTTTACTATTTTCTCGAAGAATAAAGAATTTTTATAAACGGTTTAAGTTGTGTCCCTTGTTGGCAGGTGTTCAGATATTATTTGAAAACAAATCTGTAAAAATGTATTTAATGGCTTTGTTTGGTTTAGGGTAAACACTACAAAGTAATTGTATCTGTTGATCCTAATCATGTGATGGCGGGACGAATTCCAGGTAGATAAGTTATTAATTAATAATTGATAATTAATTCATTAGTTAATTCATTTATTAATTTATTTATTAATTCATTTATTTATTCAATAACTAATTGAAATGAATGTTAAAGGAAATAGTGTTGCAACTTGTAAAATGTCAGATTTGTTAATTGTTTTGAATAATTTTCATGTAGAGGTTCTCTGATCAAAATTTATTTACTAAACTCTGTTTATTAACTAATTTTTTTCAAAAAATATATATTTTTTTTCATTTCTTTATTTATTTTCGCCAAGTCATTTATACATAATTTTTCTGGTTAAAAATCATCGATTCTATTTTTATAACTTCATCAGTTAAAAATTCCTGCAAGAATTTTAAAGTAACACTTTGGATTTTACATCTTTCAAAATAGCCAATAAACATGTTTAGTTTTTTCACCTTTTGAAACACCCGGCCCAAAGCCCCCCCCCCCTCCCCCCCCCTGTTCAGCAAATAACAGTCAAAAATACATTACAAACATTAGGGGGGGGGGGGTACTATTTATAGTAGGGGGAAATGATTTTGCAGAAAATATATTCTCTTTTATAAATAATATGACTGTGTTCAGGTGAAGGTGATCTGTGTGTGGCCAGTATTCTGTCTAAAGAAGATCATGGTTATATTATGGATGTTGGAAATAAAACCGTCCGAGGCTTTATTCCAAACAAAGCTGCTGCAAAGTAAGTGGAAAAATTAGTGTTAATGCAATGGCAGGGCTGTCAAATTTTAAGAATTACTAAATAAAATAATTATTGAACGTCTGATTCAAAAAAAGTACATTCTAGAGGCAACCTGTTCAGATTCTTTTTGCACTTTTTACCCAAAAATTTATTTATTTTCCCCTAAAAATCATTTATTTTCTCTAATTCAGTTATTAAAACTAAAAAAATACATATCTTTGGTGGGGGGGGGGGGGGTGATTTTTCAAGACAATATACACCCATGTGAAACATTATCATCCTGATCATTTGTCGAAAAAAAGAAGAGAAAGTGTCTCTTTCTGCATCATTTTTGATTTTGATTTTGCATAATTAATTAACCTGATATTTTAGTAACAATTATATAATTGAATAGAAATTGTAAAGCTTAAAAACGCAAATTTCAAAGCATTTCAATCGAATGTAATTTCAGGCACTGGATAAAGGATTTACGTGAGGGTATGAGCATACTGTGTGTAGTTGTCAAGAAGGAGAAAGGAGCAATTATACTTAAATGTGACCCAGGTAAAGAAATGCAGACTCAACGAACTCTATTACATTCAGTAGTTTAAAGATAAAACTACTACTGATTGCACTACTGACTAAATGAACATTTTACCAGTTAAACTGGTCATGTGTTTATTTTTAAGACATCTTTGTCTGGGAATTAGAAGATCAAAATTAGAAATCCCTGTGGAGTCCTTATTGAGAAAATCCATATTCAAGAAATCGTAAAAATCAAATGCATTTTCAGTTATTATATCCACTAAATGTTTTAAATGTGTTGGCCTTATTTCTGAGATTGTCTTATTCTGATGTTCGTAAGTCTGGGTAAAGGTTTCCTTAAAAGACCACATATACTTATTGTTATGAACTGAAATTTTAAAATATTTGTAATCAATTCTTGAATATAAAACTGAAGGTCAATAAGCCCTGGCTGAGATATGTAATGGACCATGGTTCTTTCAAGGGTTAAAATAATGAAGGCACCTTGGTCTAATAGTTCATACTTTTTAGGAAAAGTTTTTAACACTGCGAGACAAGAGCCAAACCTTCATAATACGCTTCCAGGAACTACATTTAACGGAAAGGTAAAGATAACATATTAAAACTGTTTTCGCCAGCATTTATGGGGATAGACAATAAACAATAATTTATTAATACAGGGGTGGATATTTTCTCAAATCACCGCTTCCCATCTTTTTCATGAACATTATTTTTCCCCAGATGGTATGTAATATGTAATATGTATGTTTGCGCGTAATGCGTAATTCTTGAAATTACATATTCCTTTATTATTATCATGAAACACCATTTGAAAGAATGATTTTTCTTTTTACCCAAAAATGAATTTATTTGTTTGAAAATGTTTTGTCCGAGGCTAGATTTGATAAGTTTGAATTGTAATGTCATTTTATTTTTAGTTGAAAAGTTGTTTCAATTTCGTTTTTACAATGCAATTTCTTGGATCTTATGGGTATTATCCTAGATATCTCAAATTGTTTTGCCGATTTTTTTTTTGTGGCACCGTAAGCGATTTATGTAACAAAACTATTTTGTATCTTTTTTTTGAAATATTTAATTTAGAAAAAAAGATTCTATCTGGGTTGACCTAGATTTATAGTTGTTTATTTGTGCAGGTACTCTCGCACCTTGAGAACGGGTTGAAGGTTGGGTTCGGGAAGGATCTTGTCGGATACCTCCACCAGAACCTTCTCCCTAGTCCAGTAGAGGACTTGAAATCTATCCCTCTAGGCTCAGAGATTAAAGTTAGATTAGGAAAACATAAACACTCATTCACATTCAAAATTATTTTAATACCGACGTTTTTTATTTTTGTTCTTTGTTCTTTTTAAAAGTCGATTCACCATTTAGAGATCTGAGTCCGAATTTATTGAATTTAAGCCGCCTATCAAATATCCCAAAAACCGCTTTCAATCGAGCGCCGGCTTCAATCTTTAAATATTTAATACAGTTTTAAGTGGAACCAACCATATTTGAGCCGCGGCTTCAATTTAAACCGCGGCTCAAATTCTTTAAATTCGGCCTCTGAGCTGGGAATTTTTGTGTTGGACATTTATCTGGATAAACACAGTGGACACTAATTTATATAATTTTTTTCATTTCATTTTTTCCTTCAGGGTACGATTACCATGTGAGACATAGAAATAAGATTAAATTAATCTACAGATTAACAGAAGATTGAGATCAAGCGTTGATCTCGATATCTCGTGAGTTCCCACCACTCTGGAAAGTTTTAACAATTTCTCATCAGTTAACGCTTTAAGTTTATATGTTTAACACATTTTTTGTCTAGTTTGAATATGATATAGCTTGTCTGATTCGATTTCATGATTATGATCGATTTGGGATGAACTTGAATGAATTTCCGTTTTAATGCAATAGATTTCAATTTTAATTGATTATTAACTAAAGAGTTGGATTGATTTCTGTCTGTTGTTCATAAATTGAAAAAATTCATAATGATTAATGGGTTATTTAGTTTGTTGTTCAGGTTATTAAATGGTATATTTACGTCTGCATGTATTTAGCTTGTTGGTCAGGTTATTAAATGATATATTTACGTCTTCATGTATTTAGCTGGTTGATCAGGTTATTAAATGGTATATTTACGTCTGCATGTATTTAGCTGGTTGATCGGGTTATTAAATGAGATATCTACGTCTGCATGTATTTAGCTGGTTAATCAGGTTATTAAATGATATATTTACGTCTGAAAAACAACGACGAAGGCTAATGTTTATGTTGGGTTTAGTGTACGTTGTACCAACCATAAACACGGTAATCCTGAGCGCCAGATCAGTCTATCCATTCAAACAACCATTCCAGGAGATTAAGGTAAATATATTTTTTTTTTACTAAATTACACTTTGTAAGCTCTTCGTCAAGTTCGTTTACAAAATAGAGGGAAAAGCTTCCTTGTTCAACCCCGACTTTCTCTAATCAACGCCACCTTTTTAAATAAACTATTTTTTTTTCTTCATTGCAGACGGGAACTTTTATCTCTGACGCCGAGATCCTGGTTGTTACTTCTAGTTATCTACTCGTTCAACTCTCCGAGTCTTGCATTGGATATGTGTCTGCAAGGCAGGCTAGGAGTACGCCGGAGGATAAAACAAATCTCAAGGAGAAGTACAAGTAAGTTTTCATTGAAATGTCATTGTCCTGGTTAATTTTTTGGATTGTTTATTTTTAGAAGTTTTTAAAGAATTGAGGAAAAATAAACAGAATTGACATCAAATTGTTGGTCTTTCGTCCTTTCTGATACTTCTGACAACCCCCCCCCCCCTTCAGTGATTTCCCTTGTATTCTTTCACTTCCTGTTGGAATGAACTTGACCCAGCTTTGTCTTGTATTGCTAGTAATAATGAATTTAAATGTAAACTTAAGCAACATTTTCTGGATAGATTATCGAACTTTGAATGCAATCGGCTATTTTGCTATAATTGTTCAACTCTAATTTCTTAGATTAGATTGGGGTTTCCATGGTCTTTAATATGATCTGTTCATATTTTTTAATACTTGATACATATAATGAATATCATATATATGTATCCTTGTCTGAAGAAATATTCAGCTTATTCTTGATCTCTTATCTTGATTAGAATGACATGTATTAATAATATTTCTTGATCAAGAAACATCTTTTACGTTATTGAGCCTAAAACTTCCTGTATTTCTGACTAAAGATTGACGCCATGTTTCCGCCTCCTGTTCTCCAACCGCCACCGCCGCTACTCTTCGACATTTTTGTGCTCCATAAAGGCACATTGCCCAACGTTTGAATCTAATCATTATTTTTCTGAACCAGGGGAGCTCGTGTGAAAACAGCCTGAGCTCCCCGGCCACAAAATATATATATGTAATTGTATAGTCATTTTTATTAATATGAATATTGTTAACTTGTGGCCCAATAAATGATTTGAAAATGGGGGAAAAAGTGATTTTTTGAAAGGGGGCGTGAGAAATGATTTTTTTATTAAACACACACCCCTAGATGTTATTAACATGTATTTTTTCTTCTAGGATTGGTGAGAAAGTAAAAGCCCGAGTACTCGGCCTGGATTACTACTCTGAGGTTGCTGTGTGTACTCTGCAGAAAGCACTCCTCTCCGGTCTTTCAAAGATAGACAACCTTACCATCGGTTAGTACTGATTTTACTCAGCAGATGGCTCTGATTCGCGAAAATAGAATATGAAAATCACAAGGTCCAGTGCGGAAACGGATTCGTCATGAAAAAATTTGATCCAGATTTGGATAAATATCTAAAGAGTTTATTTGTTTAGCTTTAGCAAAACTGCCTACTGTCATACTCTTATTTGTTTGTGTTTTCATAGCTAATATTGTTATGTTTGGAATCTTAATTTTGCGGATCCGGATTCAGGGAGCTGAAAGTTTGCAGATCTGGATCATAAAAACCACTTAATAGATAATGGTTGAACATGTTAAATTTTGCCAACCATGAAGGAAAGTATCGCTTAAGTCTATCAGCATTTTTCTGACTTGAAACTAGCTGGAGTGCCCAGCGTTGCCCGTGGAATAAAAAATCCCAATTTTGAATAAACAAATGGAGTTTTTTAGCCTATGTTTCCCCTTGGGTAACCTGAAAAATGTCAGCCCATTCGGGCCAGTCTTCTGGCCAGCTATAGCTGACATATATGTATAAACATATATATGAGTTCAAAGCTTTATTATATAGATATTGATTTCAGGTCAGAAGGTACGAGGAACCATCAAGGGGTTTGTAGACGGTGGATTAGAGGTTAAAGTTGGAGCTACTCTTGTCGGATTCATCCCAACCCTCTTCCTCTCAGATGTTCGTCTACAACACCCAGAAAAGAAGTTCTTCATAGGTAATAAACAAGAATTACGTAATCCGGCAGAATGGATATTTAATTTCTATTTTCAAGAATTATTCTATTTGTGATGCTCTGGGGGGGCCCCCTTCCACTCTAATTCAGCCAAGTTGCATTTCAATTTTTAAATAGTTGTTTTTAAGTCACCTCTCGTTAAATGTGTCTAGCAAGAGCAAATATATACTATTCAAAGAAATATACTTAATCATTTTCTTCTCTTTTTACGCAATAACTTTTGTAATTTTTAAAGAAAATTAAAGACAATTTTAAAGGACTTCAAGAAAAAATGAATTTTTGAAGATGTTAAAAATAGCTTAAGTCGAAATTCTTTTGCTGTTAATCAAATAGTTAATGACTCAATGACTGAACAATTAACATGTTTTTTGTCAAAAATCGAATTAATTACTCTTGGATAATGATATCCCTAGCTTGATTGAAATCTTGCAAACATAACCTATGGGAATACACACTTGTCCCTCAAAGTTCTAAGTTACCACAGTGGATATCGAGATTAAGCGTTACTAGATTATTGCTATTTCCGTCCTTTGGCGGTTATTTTTGTAGGGGACTCGGCCTTGACTTCCACGAAATGATAATTGACCTTCTACTTCTTTATTTGTATCACTCAAAAGTGTTCATCAAGTTAGCAATGTATACATTTTTCACTTATCCCTTAAGCTTAAAATTAGTAAAAAACGGGATTATTTTTAGTTTTTCGCATTTTAGGCAAAAATAAAGTAAAATGTGAAGAAGAAAAAATATTTTTTGAACATTGAAAAAAATCGCAAAACAAAAATTACCTCAAAACATCTGTAATTCCGGTTTGTTTGTCTCAGCCCGTAGATTGTAGGGAGATAAAAATATACATTTCTTATGTTATTCAGGGGATAAGATTGACTGTAGAGTTCTCCGAGTAAATCCGAAGAAAAATCGTCTTCATTTGACCTCCAAGCCTATTCTTGTCAAAGAAGAGTTCAGGTGTGATAAGATAGTTTTTTTATGATATTTCTATTTACGACTTACCCACCTATTTATCAATATTTTTTAACCTACTTATTGGCCGCTAATTTAACCTCTACCTATAATGGGATATACAAAACTGGAATAGGAAGACGACATTTATGCAATTATTATTAGATATTATTCAGCAAAAAGTGTTAAAAGTTGCATAAAAACGTACTTATTTAGTGAGTTTGGTTTGTGTACACTAGTGCACAATTACTGTGTTTTATATCCATTGAACTTGATTTAAAATCATAACTTGTCCTAATAGTGTTCATTCTATTCCACAGGTCAACAGATCTCGTTATATTCACCTTTTACTTATTTTATCTTGGGCTGCGAACTTACCTCCTCATATTCCTACATACTTATTTCACCACCTATCTACCCAGTTTTGAGCATTCATACCAACATTAGTTCATACTTACTTTCCTACCTACTGATGTACCCACCAGCTTATTTACCAACATATCTGCTAAGATAATAGATATAGACCTTACCTCCTTTCATGTAACTTTTAAACTATACACAAGTGCATACTTCATATCTAGTTAATATATAATTATTTACTACCTAACTACTTTTCAGCCTAGTTTTATCTGCCTGCTAGTGCTAATATTCATATATTGTCTAGTATTGTATCAACCTATGAACAAGCTGTGGTTGGAACTATTACCGAAGGAGTTATAACTAAAATCACCCAGGTTGGAAGATTTTATTTCTATTTTAGTTTTGGGCAAACTTTCAAAAAAATCATTTATTCGTTGAAAGAATTCTGCTGCCCTTATTTTCGAATATGCACGTCTTCTCGAAAAAATCGCAAATCTAAAGTAAAGTTAAAGGAATTGTCGGAGTAATATCAAGTTACTCAAGTTAAAGAGTTTCAGGGTGGCCAAAATGTACGGATTGTACGGTTTTTTTAACCCTTAAATTGTACGGATAGTACGGTTTTATTTCAAATTTTACGGATTGTACGGATTTTTACACCTTTTTTCCTGTTTACTCATTTCAGCAACTTTAGCATGAAAATTTTCAAAACAATATCTCGTCAAAATGAAGTTAGTTTAATTATTTTCTGCATTCTAAATAATATTAGGTTAATTGTTGTTTCAATTGAAAATCAAAATTCATTCATAATTTTTCGAAAATATTGATTAATGCTAAATGCCGAGTTTTTTAAAAAGCTTAAACAAAGAAGGAAACCCATCCCAACGAAGAGAAGTAAAAGACTAAATGCCATGTTTATAGATATTTAGATTTTAAATTCACGTGTTTCTCCTCTCATTCACATCATAATTTACTTGTTTCTCCTCTCATTCTCATCATAATTTACTTGTTTCTCCTCACATTCTCATCCTGGTTTACTTGTTTCTCCTCACATTCTCATCCTAATTTACTTGTTTTCTCCTCTCATTCTCATCCTGATTTACTTTTTGAACCGATTATCTTTTAAATGTACTGATTGTACGGGTTTTTTTTCAATAAAATGTACGGATGTACGGATTTTTCTGCACGGATTGTTCGGATTTTTTCCCAAAAATGTTCGGAATGTGTTCTGGAAATGTACGGATTTTTTCAAAAAAACTTTTGGCCACTTGTATGCCCGACTCTAAAAACCGGTGGACTCGGATTCAAAACCGGATCCGTGTCCAGATCCGGGTTATAAACATTACTGTTAGTTCAACTTTTATCGGTTTTGTGTAATAAAACTTGATGTAGTATTTGGAGATTAGGAAGTTTTTAATAATCCCTCATTTCCTAACAGTTAATGTTAATGTTTTCAGAACTTAAATTTTCTTTGCAGGCTTTGTCTGTTTTTTTTTGCTTCTTGGTCCGTCGATCTGCATTTTTGTGAAGATCCGGATCATTTTTAGTCAGAGTTTAGCAGATTTACCGGATCCGGATCCCAAGTATTGCTTAAACCATTAAGCACCAATTAGGAAGAAATCTTCGTTTTTATTCTGAAAAAGTGATAAATCTGAACATATGATATAATTAATTAGATTTTTTATAGCATGGATTGCTGATCAGCTTATTCGGCGATCTCATGGGATTTGCTCCAAAACATATGATATCAGAGGAAGTTATTCAGCATCTGGAGAAACTTTTCTTCTTAGGCCAGGTAGCAGATTTTGCTCCCTTTCTTTTCTAAATTTTAAATCTGGGGTCGTCTTCATTCACAAAACTAATCTTGAAAGATTTTGAACAATCAAATAAAAAAAATCTAATTTAAAAAAAGGAAAAAAAAATATTTTAATAATATGGAACTTATCACCCTTCAACTTTCATGTTTTACTTAATTTCTTTAAAATATATATCCCTGCCTTTGTAAAGTTTAAACCTGAACAAATAAATACATGTGCGTAATAAAATATAAAAATGTCAAGGCTGTGAAATGTCAAATAGTTGGGAGTGATGAGGAAAAGAACAGGTAAGAGAAACATTAAGAAACTTAATTTATTTCGTAACAAATCCCCCCCCCCCCCCCCCACACTCGTTTGCAAATGGTAAAGGTTTTGTTTCAGTTATAACAATAAAACTGTCAAAGGATAACGTAAATGAAATTGGTAATAAATTATGGGTCTCATTGTATAGTAATAATCTGGAACATCTGTGTAAATAAGTGTTGTATTGGATTGGTGGGCACCCCTCCTCTACCTCTAAATCAACATGTGCAACGTGATAGTCTGATGATAGTGAAATTGGAAATCTCAAATGTGCAGCATTTTAATAAGCAATTCTGACCCGTTAAGAAATTCGGCAGCTGTACAGGGTTCCGTAAAATAAACTTTTTTCCAAATTGCCTGAAGGGAGAGTCAACAAAAGAAGAAGATAGAGAATGAAGGGGGAAAGAAGATTAACAATTAAAATATATTTTTTAAGCATGATCTGTACCCAATAATTAAAAAAAATAAAATGTTTAAGGATAACACTGTCCCTGAAGATAGGAAGCATGAAGCCCCTGGGGAAAAAGCAGAAGGAGAGGGGGAAATCTCTTGCACTGGGGAGTATATATACTGCAAAGGTAAAGATCTGTTTTACAAAAAAAAATTAAATNTGTTTACTCAGTTAAATTTTAGCACAATTATTTTATAATTATTGTTAAATTCATTCTAGGTTACAGGGATCACAGAGAAGGGTTTGGATTGTGAAGTAGAGAAGGATGAGCTTTGTATAACCTGCTGTATACCAACCCAACATCTAACAGATAATACGGGCCTAGCCGCAGCGCTTCTCAACCATTACAAGGTTACATTGACACCAGATACAGAATAAGAAAATATTTTATTTTTTAAAGAATTTTATGTTCTTGTACAGTTTTTTTAATTATGACATCTGTTTCATTTCGTTTGTTTGTATCTATGACACTTCTTAATTAGTATTGTTTATGTTACTTATAGTAGGTTTTGTTCATGGCCATTTATATTTGGATCTGTTTGAAACACTAGATTGGGTTCTGTTAATGCCCCTTCTATGGCACTCTATAGTGGTTGCTGTTTATTGCACTCTTTATTGAGTTCTGTCTATGGCACTCTATATTGGGTGCTGTTTATGGCACTCTATATAGGGTTCTGTTTTTGGCACTCTATATTGGGTTCTGTTGATGGCAATCTATATTGGGTGCTGTTTATGGCACTCTATATTGGGTTCTGTTTTTGGCAATTTATATTGGGTTCTGTTCGTGGCACTCTATATTGGGTTCTTATAATACTTCATATTGGGTTCTCTTTATGGCACTTTATTAGGTACTGAGTGTTTATGGCACTTTATGACACGCAATATTGAAAGTGCCTGTGAACTTTCCAAAATTAATTCTTAGTCTTTTTATTTGTTGGATGGTTTGTTTGGATGGTTGATTTTGTAAAAAATAATTTTTGATATTTTCTTAAGGTTGATGATAGCGTGGAGGCTGTTTGTTTCCAGCACGACGTTGTTCCTGTTCTAACACTGAAGCAGTCAATTATTAGAGCTGTCCAGGTAATATTACAGTTATTACAGTGACAACCAGAATTCTCTCAAATAGGAAGACGACTTCTAGATTCAAGTTGTAACTTTTAAAGGTACAACTCTAAGTAAGTGAGTGAGTAAACGGATCAAATTGACTAACAGATCTAAAAAGTTCATCAGGGGCAAGGTTATAATGCAAGGAAAGTTAATTACTGTACCGTATACTCTGCGTACATATTGAAACCAGTTCTCTCTGGGCGGAATTTGTAAACAACAGTAGATGCATCAGTGTTCGTTTAGTTTCCAAGGAGGTTAAAATCATTAAATTTGATAATTTTGATAATTCACCCAGAAGAAATTCTGCGCCTATACATTTTTCGAAATGTATAATCTACAAACATAGTAGTTTCCTATGACCAGAATAATTCATTGATTTTTATGTGAAAGATGGATCCCATGTCAGACTTTGAGATCCGTCTTGTATTTACATTACCGCCCAGAGACATTACACTGCAATGTACAAAAAATGCATACACTCTGAAATAACTTTCCTTGCATTACAACCTCAATCAGGGGTTTAAAGTCATGTTTTCCCCAGAAGTGGAGCGGAAGCGATGCGCCAACTAAATTTAAAGGTTTTTTTTTCGCTGAATTTGAGGAAATATTCATGTCTTTCATGGATTCTACAATTGGAATTAGTCAACTTTTTGATAAAAACTAGTCTCTTTAAATATAGGGTCACCTGAAATACGCTGACAGTCCCACTAGCCAGTATATATTTGAAGGTGTGTGCTGTGTAATGTTTGTTTTATGTTTCACTTCTAATTTATATTATTTGTTAAAGATTTTAAATTGTATTTTATTCAGGAAGGATGTTTACCGGATGAATTCTCTAAGATCGAGGTAGGTAGTCTGCTGCCAGCTGTTCTACAGTCCATCAAACCTTTTGGAATCTTCCTTCGTCTCCCTGTCTGGTCGTACTGGAAACCTATTTTAGGTAATTTTTCGATGTTTCACCTCTTATTTTAGGGTTGTGCAAACTAATTATCACGAATTTCTTGAACCAAGAGATTTTTTATTTAAAGAAAAAATTATTTGACGCTTATATAATTGTCATTTTTTGTCTTATATGCAGTATTAAACCTGAATTTCTGTTATTAGTTCCGAATCGTCACATTGCGAACTTCTACATGGAACGGCCGGCGGACGTTCTAGAAATTGGCCAAACTCTTATTGTAAAGGTTAGTAATTGTTAAATTGTTGTTTATAAAGCTTGTTTTTAAGATTGGGATTAAAAAGATAATTCATTACTTTGTAGAAGGTTTGACAAATAATTAAGTTTTTTGTATTGTTCCTTCCTTTATAACGTTCTATGGAGTGCTTGATACTTAGTACAAATGTTAAAGAATCAATGATATATTTAATCATAAAAGTCATTTCCGGAAAAAGATGGCGCGCGTTGCAACTGGATTTATATCTTGAAGTCCATCTCGTTGACTGCAACTTCTGTTTGTGTGGCTCTATTGATAAATTTCTTATCGGACTGCAGACGTAATTTCAAGTGACCTTCAGTTATTGAGTGGCATGTCCCAGCTTTGTTTTATCAAGATAATATCCATGGTTTCTCTTAATTTCATTCGAGGGTTTCCAAGTAAACTGGTTAAACGAAGGAAGACATGTTCCACAATATTGCTAAGATAAAGGATACTTCTGTAAATCAGGTTTTCTTTAAATGTAGGGTCACTCAGATTTTTCATCGACAGTTCATTGAACTTGAGCGCTTTAACATGATCCAACAAATCAACATGTTTGTTTCAGATAACAGAGAAGGTAGATGATGGAATGAGATTAGCAGGCTCTACTAATTTTATGGTAAGATTTTAGTTCTCAACAGTTTATCAATTTCAGCGAAATTGGATTTTAAATAGTTCAAGCTTTTTTATAAATCCTCCGACAAGAAGTTTAAAGTTTGTTTTTAATACTGTGGTCAGCAGATATGTTAATCATCATTTCAGTAGAGAGGCTGGTATATATTTTAACACAGAATCCGTAACTTTAATATTACAGTCCCGGAATTATTTTATAATTAATTAGACGACTTAACAATTTAATTTTACAAATATGATTAATGAAAAGATAATAACTAAATAACCTAGTCCTGCCAATTACAAACTGGTGTCTGCCTTTATTGTGTTTTTAAGATTACCAAAGATATATATGTAAAAGTCATCAGTCAATTCATTCCGGGTCTTTCTGGTTATGACATGACTGTACATAATAAAGATGGGTCGTTCAATTCATTTTATTTCAAGAAGCTTGGAAGGTGTACAACAGCTCCTTGACCTATGGGGGGTATGTCATCACAATCCCTTCTAGGTTAAGGCTTTTCAGCCTGACATAGTTTAAAAGCCTAACGTCGGACAGACAACCAAATTTGAGCCATACCACTACACCGGTCCGATTCCTTATGTCAGCCAATTACCTAACAAATGTATAATACATTTAATAAAAATACCATGCAATGAATTATCGGGTACCGAGATTGTAATCTATCACAATCTATGTTGCAGGATATGCCGATAAAAAGCTCTGAAACTGTTGATGTCATGAAGGGAATACTACAGGATTTAGCTTTACTCAGGTTAGGGAGTTTTCTAAATCATCAATCTTTGAAAGTCATCAGTGAGAAAGGGGGCAAGGCCAGGGGGAAGTAATAAGATATTAACACCAGGATACAGTGAAAATATTAATATTAAAATTATTTTGATTGATTTGTAGATGTCTGGATTCTCAAACTCGGTGTTTTTTAATTAATTAAATTGGCAAAGGCAAAAAATTATAATTTAAACCGTAAACATATATTTTTTTTGTGGGAAATTTAGACTCCAGCATGAAAATTAGGTTTAAGGATCAATAAAGAAAATTCACAAAATGGTTTTGAAATAAAATTTCCGAGAGAATCGTATTATGGAATATTCATGTTTCATACTATTATTATCATGTTTCATTTCAGCCCTGGTTTACTAAGGTTTTATTTTCAGGTCTAAGTCCGAGAAGCTGTCTAGTATTCGTATTGGAGATTTATTGACTGCAACCGTCAAAGAGATTACTGATATGGGAGCCATCCTTGGTAAACGATGACTTATTTACTTTTCAGGGTGTTTTATACTCTTTTTAACTTTTAATTCGACTGCAGAAATTTATTGCATAGGATCTGGATCTGTTGGATCTGCAATATTTTATCCTCCTGGATCCGGATCCGCAAAAAATATGCGTATCCACGGATCCGTATCAAAACAGAAAAATATCAAAACCTGCAAAAAAATTAAAAATCAACTTGTTACTCTCAAAACGCACATCTCAACTGTTAACTTTTATGAGTTATCATTGAAAATCATAATCTCTGAATGGTTTATGAATTAAGTTTTAAGTATAAAAGTAAGCTCAAAACAAAAAAGTTTAATTTTGTCTGTCTGTTTAAAAAAAAATAGCAAATCTTTAAGAAAACTTTATGACCTGTATCTAGTTTCATCCAGATCCATTTTTTTCACGGTGGATCCAGGATCCAAATCCTCTCCTGAGCCCTGTACAGAATTGAAACAAACTTGATCTGGATTTCTCAAATTTGTGACGTATGAAAACTGTAAAATTTTAAGATGTATCCGGTCATGTGAGTTTAGCTCCTCAATCCAACCTTGGGGATTCTCAACTTAAACCCGGAGACAGGGTTCCAGCAATGGTTCTATTTGTAGACTATCAGGTTCGTTACATAGATTTATTTCGGATAAGATAACAATAAAAACATTTCAAATTTTGTAATTTATTAACTATCTAAAGTGTCCGGCGTTGCCCATGAAAAAAAAATATTTGAATTTTGAAAAAATTTCAGCCTATTCGGTCCAGCCGTTTGGTCAGCTATAGCTAATATGTAAATATACTATAATATACTGTGCTGTGCTGTATTGTCTACTGTACAGATTGGTGTACTAATGTATTGTCTACTATACAGGCTGGTGTATTAGAGGTTAGTTGTGATCCAGGAATTATTACAAAAGCAGCAGTTTGTGTGAATATACCAGAGGTAGGATAATTTATGGAATAATATCAACTTCCTAAACGTATAAAGAATTAAAAAACCTAAATTTTTGTGTTAAACACACAAAAATCTACAAAATATGAATATGAATTTCATGGTCATAGGTGGAAGTTAACCTCTGCGAGGGATTTTTGACATTTTTTCAGTCCATGATTCTACCCTTATATTTATTCAGTCTCTCATAAAAAAGATTATTTTCTTCAATTCAGCAAATAAAACCCTTTACAAAAAAATTTTCCATTCCGCGGAAACATATCTATCTTCTGCTTGGAGAATTAAGATATGGGGCAGGGGTATACGTTGATACGTTGATAGTTTCACCGCCAAGGTCCTGCATCATGCAAGAATGAAGTGGCGGGTCAGGTCATCATTTATTATTCTGGATCCATGGCTGCATTTCTATGCTCATCATAACTGTTTTTAAAAGCATGGACCATTGCCTCAGGCAGTTGGTTCCAGACTTTAACAACTCAAATAGAAAAAAAGTTTTTTCTAATGCCAAGGTTTGTTCTCTTCATCTCCAGGTTGATTATAGCTGAATTCAACCTTGTGCTTACTGTAGAGGCTGAATTTAACCTAGTAAACCAGGTTTCGCAAACATCATCATGCTGGTGCAATATTTTCGAGGTTTGTATCATGTCACCTCTTCTTCTTCTCTCCTCTAGGGAGGGTAAGCCTAATTCTTTCAGCTTGTCTTGGTAGGTTCCTGGCTTCAGTCCTGCTGTCATTCTCACAACTCTTTTCTGGACATCCTCTAGGAGGTCAATATCCTTCTGGTTCAAGGGTGACCATGCATGGACAGCATATTCTAGATTAGGTCTCACATAAACCTTGTACAGTCTTATCCAATTGTATTTGTCTCGATATGTAAAAGATCTAGACATTTGTCCTACTAGTTGGTTTGCTTTCAATCCTGCAGCTTAACATTGACTTGAAGGTTTCAATGTGTCAGAAATCTTCACTCCTACATCCTTCTCATCTACAGACTCCAACACTGTACCACCTGGAGCAAAACCATGCATTGTGTAGGTGAAATGATTATATATTTTCCCTCGTTATCAACCGGAGATAAAGTATATTTTAGACCCCTGAATTGCGGGGAATTTTCAAGAAATTGTTTACTCCTGATTCTCAAAATCTATGAGTAGGAAATGTGTTCTACTGCGTCCATATGACATGTAAACAACAATACAAATTAAGGAGTTCAAAAAATGGAGCTGCTTCAGTTAGACCTCCTGATATACCTAGGGAGTTTCTAGAAATGGAGCTGTCTCAGGTAGCTCCCTGTTGTAAGTCTTTCTCCCTTTATGCATGCTGGATTGATGCCAATAAAGGACCGCATCATGATCTGACAGGCCAACTACCTCTGGATTGCTGTATGCAAAAGGAAGAACTTGATTTATACATGCAGTACTTCAGATCCAGTTGGAATGGCCGATGGACCCATACACCAAGGTGTTGATGGCCATCCAGAAGGAAGTGGGTATACTAACAGACTTCCCGATGCGCCAGGCTCTAAACAAAGCACTGTCCAGCATATCTGTGAACCATGCACTTTAGGTCCAGGCAAAAGCTGTGACCAATGGACAGAGCACGCCAGTCCGTCCTCAGAGCCTACTTGGGAGGCGGTGGTCCTGCTGGAAAGAGGAAGGAGGATGGCCACTGTGATAGAGGCTTGGCTCCTAAAAGTCTACAAATAGCTCAGTAAGATATTGACCAATCTAAAAAAAACGAAGAGAACCTGAAATGGTTCTGTTCCAGGCGATCCGCCCAGCAATAAGCCTCCTACCGGGGTAGTGGAAACATTATCCTTTTGAAACGTTATGTGGGAGAGGAGCACCGACCCCTACCTCATCGAGCGATGGTTGGTGTTATAGTAATTGTAATAGTAATAGGGAATAACAAACCACGGTCCCCATGTATACGTTTCAACGTCTAGGAGCGCCAACCTCTATTTCATCAAATGCCGGATTGTCCGTTAATAATAATGATAAATTGAGTTAATAATTGATTAATATTTTAGGTTGGATCCAACGTTAAAGGAAAGATTATTTTAACTCGGACTGAACTGAACCTAAGAATTGTATCAGTGACCAGCCCAGCTAAATTTGCAGGTTACTCATACATTCATATTTGATAAAAGAACAAAAATTATGGATACCATTTGGTTTTTCCCTAATATTTCCTCGTAGGATGAAAAACTTTTACAGAATACTGTTTTTAAATATTGGAATCTTCACAAGTTCACAGTATTGGCGCGGTGCCTTCAAAAGTAAAAAAAAAACGAAAAAAGAACCCCATCTTTACTTTATGACTGCAATTTCGTACTGCCAATCCCGTTTTTCACTCAACATAAAACGCGTACAGTTTAATTGATCTGGGTTTTTCTTGAATTGAATTCAGAGTTTGGAATTTATGAAAAGTGAGAGATAGTTCAACCAAGTACACAGATTATTTAACCGTTTCTATGTTGTAGCAGAGATTGCAACTAAGCATTTGAACTAGCAATACCAAAGTTTGACTGCTTCTCATTAAGTATTAAATCCGACTTGAGAAGGAAAATTGGTGACTAAGCGGATTCCGTAATCCCGTCATGTTAATAAAGTAGTTTTGTTGTAGGGTGTTTGGTGTACACTCCGACTGTTATCCATCTCAATGATTTGGCTGGAGAAGATACAGAGCTGGTTGTGGATAAACTGACCAATATAAATATACAGGTAACAAAAAATTGGAAATTAGATATAAAACCTAAAAAGTCGGTAATTTTAACAAAAAGCTTGATTAAAAAGAAACATACATCTTTAGAATTTTTAATAAGTCGACCTGTCTTACTGTCCAGGTATCTGGCGATGAGATTATTGGACTAAATGACCGACAGCACAGACTTCAGGGGAAGAAGAGAAGAGACAGGCATAATTCATTAGGTAATAAATTAGTTGCAAGCTCTGTGGTATATTTTTATTTAAATTTGAAATCTCAGAAATGAATATATTTTAACAAAACTATATGTAGAGATTTTTGCCCTTGCTTATTAAGTTATTGGTTTAAGGAAACAAGATGTAAAATAGTTTGAAGCAAACACACTTTTAATTAGTTTCAAATAGATACGATGTGAATTAGTTAAGTTCAGAGTAGACACAAATTTAATTAGTTTAAAATAGACGCAATGCTTATTAGTATAAAGTAGAGACAATCTTGATAAGTTTGTTAATTAGTTTAAAGTAGGCACAATGTTGAATGTTGATAAGTTAAAAGTAGATACAATGTTAATTTGTTTAAAGTCGACATAATGTTAATCAGTATAAAGTAGACACAATGTTAGTTAGATTTGATTTGATTTGATTTGATTTGATTTGATTTGATTTGATTTGATTTGATTTGAATGTAGGTTCAATTATTATTATTTAAAGTAGACGCAATATTAATTAGTTTAAAGCAGATGCAGTGTTGTTAGTTTAAAGTAAACATAATCTTAATTAGTTTAAATTAGACACAATATTAATAAGGTTAATGTAGACACAATGTTAATAAGTTTTAAACAGACACAATGCTAATAAGTATAAAGCAGACACAGTGTTAATTAGTTTTAAGTAGACACAATTTTAAATGTTAATTAGTAAAAGTAGATGTGCACTTTTCAGTTTTTAGTTTATCTCTCTATAACTTTCAGCGTCGGAACAATAGAAGTGCATAACTATTTAACCAATGTATTGTTTATACGCCACCCCGTACACAGAATAATCAAGTCTAGTACATACTTTTAGAATTTATTTCTTGATCATCTAGCTGTGAAGCTGAAATATAACAATTAATTAGTATTATAAATTTATAAAATGCAATGTTTGGTAAAATCTTGCGACCAGACAAAGTTACTTAACAATACACATTAAAATCCAATATTTCAAAATGTTACGTCTGGTGATATGTTGTGACCAGATAAATGGATTCAAAGCAACATATGAAGACTTTATAAAAGCTTAATCATCAGTTTTAAAAGGCACATAAGAATATTTCACAAAACACAACGACGTCCCAAGCTTTCTAATAAAAATCTTACATTTGATGGCGGTTTGGTTTTCTCACACGCTGATCCAAATGTCTTCAATTAGTGTTTATCAGGTTTCAAGTTCTCCATGTACAATGTAACTTCTCCTGCGAATGTAAAGAACCATAAGCACTAGTTCATTGTAGGTTATAAATCATTTACAGAGTTACATTTAAATTGTGCCATTAATAGTTTCTATAAAATGCTTGTTGATAAATATGCTTGATAAAATACAGTTTCATTTCATATCGTAATTTTTAAAAAACAGGTAGAAATTGCATTTAACATTATTTTAACTTGAATAGTGCGGGATTAATAAGAGTTTATTGTTCATATTCAATCACCCTGCATAGAAAGTTCTTGACAGGATCACACTGATTCACAAATCTTCTCACAGGCTGTAGTTTATCCTAGAATAATAGTTTAGATTTTACAGTAGACACAATGTTAATAGGTTTAGAATAGGCACAATGTTAATTAGTATAAAGTAGACACAATGTTTATACATATAAAGTTGACACATTGTTAATAAGTTTAACGTAGACATAGTGTTTATTAGTTTAAAGTAGGCACAATGTTGATAAGTTAAAAGTAAATACAATGTTAATTAGTTCAAAGTCGACATAATGTTCATCAGTTTAAAGTAGACACAATGTTAATAAGTTTGAAGTAGATACAATGTTAAAAAGGTTGATGTAGATACAAAGTTGATATAAATAAAGTCGACATTATATTGAAAGTTTAAAGTAGACACTTGGTTAATAAGTTTAAAGTAGACATAATATAAAAGTTTAAAATAGAGACGGTGTAATTTGTTTAAAGCAGTCACAATGTTAATTAGTATTAAGTCAATAGTTGTAATCTAAGTAGGCGTAATGTTAAATGGTAAAGAGTACAATCGAGAAAACAAACTAGAAACAAATAAAGCCTTGTTAAGATGACAGTGGAAAATCGAAAAGGATGAGAACTGAATCTGAATCCTCTGTTTCTCAACTCCTTGCCTCGGTTCAGACTTCCGCTCCTGAACTCCTGAATTCTGCGCCTGAACAGAAGTCTCCTGCTAAACATGTTGATAACAAATCAGAGGTAATGTTTTTATCAACATCATAGCAATGTCTCAGATTTCTTTTTAGTGTTCTTTAATTGCTTGTAACAACTGATAAAATTCTCTAAATTGAATTCAAGAAAACTGGAATTCACTGACCTCATTGTTATTAATTTAGATTTTACCCGACTTTGTGCCACCCAACCCTGTGTCACCGAAGGTTGCTAAGAAGCGCAAAGCTACCAATGTCGAAAAAGACACAACTTTGGAATCGTCCGCTGAACCCAACACCGAGTCTTCCTCAAAACCCAGCGTCGAATTAGAAACTGGTACCCCAGAGAAGAAGAGAAATAGGAGAGGTAAAAAGAAGAAGAAATCGGAATCAAAGTCCAAGAAAACCGAAGACACTGGTAGTGAAGAGCCAACTCTGAAAGACCCGGTGAAAGAGAAAGAAAAGGTACATTGGATGAAATGGTTTAAACAAAACAATTAATTTAACTATTGAAATGGGTTAGTCGGTCACTTAATTTTTTTTTTCACACTTTTAAACTTTGAATGGTCTAAAAGGAGTTCAGTTGACTAACTTATTTAATTTTATCATTTTGAAGGTTGTTCTGGCAGACCCTGGCTGGGATTTTTCTCTGACAAGTGTGACCTTACCCGCCTGGGGGCAGGTGTCCATCTGGGGAGACGAGGAGGCTGAGGCGGAGGAATCAGAAGCAGATACAAGCAAGAAGCACGTAGGAAAAAAGGAAGCTAAAGAGCTGCGCCGGAAAGAAGAAATTGCCGCGGAGCGCGAGGAAAAGAAAGTTCTTGACGGAGAAAACCTTCCACCTTCGTCTTCACAAGAATTTGAGAAATTAGGTTAATTATGCGTTTTAACAAAATGCTTTATCATATTTGAAATATTGTTAAATTGTTTTCTATTTTAGTTTTATCAAGTCCCGACTCCTCCCTTGTTTGGATCCAGTACATGGCCTTCTACCTGCAGACCTGCCAGTACGATCAGGCCAGGGCAGTAGCGACCAGGGCAATACAGAGGATTAATTTCAGGTTAATATTTTGTCATCTTTGCTTCCCCTTAAGTTTGCTACTCTTAAATTGTCATTTTTACAATTATTTATACATTATTTAATATTATTCTTAAATTGGTGAGAAGATTTGACCTTTAAAAAAGTTTGCGGCATTCTTTCGGCGATTTCAAAAATGTTGTGCCATTTTTCTGCTTTCTAAATTACAGAAGATATTAAGATTTTTTTTGTATTTAAATTTTTTAAGATGTTAAAGTTGACTTTTATTAAACTTTTATTAAACAATATCTTAATCCTAAATAAAATTGGAAAAACGATCTTTGAAGTTTGCACCGCGATTTTTAGATTGCGTCTGGGTCGTTTTTAAATATCACCTAGATTCAGCCTGCTTATTTAAAGTCTCGTCAATCATTAAGACAGGGTCGACTTTGAAGTGTCGCAACGCCTTGGGCTTTGATTTTACGGTTCTAACTCACTTGTGCTTTTCTATAGCCCTTTACCGTACATTTTAGCACTATTAAGCACTTGTTGTTAGGTTAGGTTTTTAAGAAGTAATTGGCAATATTCTCATCGATTTTTGCTTGAGAGTTGAGTGATATACCTACAGTGTACTCAGTACTGTCAGGGTCAATAGTTGAAAAGAAATGTTTAGAATAAAAAAATTGGAAAACATTGACTTTTTTGACTCGGCAAAAAAACATCACATCACCCCCCCCCCCCCATATTACGTTTTGTTTTGAATTGTTAATTTTGCTTTTTAATGATGATAGTGAACATGAACGATACTGTGCTGTTGTGAATAGTCCAATTTAATTTTGGCGTCACATGAAGACCACATTCGATTTAAATTTTGATTTGTAAGAAGCTATGAAGCAGCTTACCCTTTGTCATGGAATCAGAGTAAAGCTATTAAACAACTGCTTCTCTTTGTTTGCTTGTAAACTTGTAACTCTAAAAAAAAAGTTTGTTAACAATCAAAACTTAAAATAAAAAATCGAGCTCATTGTAATGAAATAAACGCAGACCACTCTACGTAGACTGTCCCTTTATATATGATTATGTCAGGGAGGAGGGTGAGATATTGAACGTGTATTTGGCCTGGCTCAATCTAGAGAATACATTCGGCAACCCGGAATCCTTGCAGAAGGTGAGAGAACATCAGTGTGCTCCGTCTACCTTATCTTTAGGATTGGATTTTCAGTTTTGCCTTAAATCTTAAATTTTCAACTTTTAAAAAATGTACCGCCCTTTGACCAACATTACCGGGATCCATGTTTGGTCCAGTACGATTTTTTTCTATATTCGGTCCAACCAATTTTTTAGTGAATTAAAGTCAATTGATAACTTAATAACAATATCCAAAAATCAGTTGTCATTTCACAAAACGTAAATTTAAGTAGTGTTTGGAATATGCTTGAATGACACGAGTGTAAAAATCAAAGACGACATTTAAGTCCTCTCTATTAAGTTTAGTGGGTTATGTTTATGTTGTTTAGGTTTTGAAAAGTGCCCTGGAGAGGAACGACGAGTACAAGGTGTACTCCCAGATGGCGGATATATTCTCAAAGTCTGGGAAACAGCTTGAAGCCGAGAATATATTTAAAATTTTAGCAAAGAAGTTCAGCAAAGTGAAAGAAGTCTGGGTCAGGTGGGTTAATACTTAATAAGTAATAGACCGTTTTAACAAACTATTGCACTGTTACAAGAAACAATTACACTGTTACAACAAACTATTTCACTGTTACAAGAAACTATTACACCGTTTCAACAAACTATTACACTTTTACAAGAAACTATTACACCGTTACAAGAAACTATTACACTGTTACAAGAAACTATTACATTGTTACAAGAAACTATTACACTGTTAAAAGAAACTATTACACTGTTTCAAAAAACTATTACACTGTTAAAAGAAACTATTACACTATTTCAAAAACTATTACACTGTTACAAGAAACTATTACACTTTAAAAAAACTATTACACTGTTACAAGAAACTAATACACTGTTTTAAGAAACTATTACACTGTTACAAGAAACTATTGCACTGTTACAAGAAACTATTACACTTTAAAAAAACTATTACACTGTTACAAGAAACTATTACACTCACTATTTCAAAAAACTATTACACTGTTACAAGAAACTATTACACTATTTCAAAAAACTATTACACTGTAACAAGAAACTATTACACTGTTACAAGAAACTATTACACTATTTCAAAAAACTATTACACTGTAACAAGAAACTATTACACTGTTACAAGAAACTATTACACTATTTCAAAAAACTATTACACTGTAACTAGAAACTATTACACTGTTACAAGAAACTATTACACTATTTCAAAAAACTATTACGCTGTTGCGAGAAACTATTACACTGTTACAAGAAACTACTACACTGTTACAAGAAACTATTACACTGTTACAAGAAACTAATACACTGTTACAAGAAACCAATAAACTGTTAAAAGAAACTATTGAACTAAAAGGAACTATTACACTAAAAGAAATTATTACACTGTTACAAGAAACCAATAAACGGTTAAAAGAAACTATTACACTAAAAGAAACTATTACACTGTTACAAGAAACTAATACACTGTTACAAGAAACTAATACACTTTTATAAGAAACTATTACACTGTTACAAGAAACTATTACACTGTTAAAAGAAACGATTACAATGAAACGTATACATACACTGTTTCAAGATACAAAATAAAACTAATTTTTAAACTAAATGTCACAAGAAAAAGAAACTTTAAATTTTTAAAACTTATTGTAGAAAATTCGGTCTATCACAATATTGCACAATTTGTTAATAACAAGTTATTAAATTTTAACATTAATAATTTGCTTTCTTTGAAGATGGAACTTACTTTTAAGGCATTGGATTTCTGACTTTTTCTTATTAACACCTCTATAAGAGCCGTATTAGATCATCAATTTTCTCTTTCCATTCAAAATTTGGAAATTTGGGGCATTTGTCAATTTTAAATTTAAAAATCTGTTTATTTTTCCTGGAACATTATAGAGCAGAGGGGATGGAGACGGGAAGGAATTACCGCGGTTTATGACCAATAACATATTATTTAAGAAAAAGATGATATTTAAAAATTTTCAGATTTGGATTGTTTTATTACAAGAACACACGAGTGGAGGATGGTAGATTTGTGTTCACGAGGTAGGCGGTTTTTTAATTAGTTTATTCCGACTATTTTTACATTTAAGATTTAACCCATACTTTACTAACACTGCTATGAATATCTTAAATAAGACGACACGTCATCTCTATGGAAGGCATTTTATATGCTGCTTGAACTACTGTCTTGTGTTCTCTGAACGTTTGAACAGCAACACATCATTTAAAAATGTTTTTAAGTCAAGTATTTTAATTGAACATTAGTTTAAAACAGAAAATTTGTGGTAATAAGAACTGCTCAGTTCAAGGCAAGTTTAAATGAACAAAATAAATTAGTTTAAAAATCTAAAAAAAAGAACTACAGTAAATAACATCATGTCTGTAGTAAAAGCTTAAAAAAATTTGCAAATATTTAATATTTTATTAAAGATCAGTAGTTCAAATGATGGTAGTCCAAATTGTAAAAAATGGGTGTTTTAAATGTCGTCCTCTGATAATCTTGTCAGTGTGCGTAGAGTGTGGACTTGTGGAGTGAGCAACGACCCACTGAGATACCGGGTTGTTCAGAGTCCATCAACTGTTGATATTCCTTACTCTACCATTACATTTATAAGCAAGCATTTACTAAATAGAAGAAACAAATGCTAAATTCTGTACTGTACACTTACAATTGTTTACTAATATTATAGGTTAGGCTAGAATCTCCTTAAAATAAACAAATATGCAGTAAGCTCTCGGTATAGTTCCTGGCCTATACAATTAATAAAGGATTAGCGTACATCATCACTCTATACACTATAACCTCGTTGTCTGAAACGTTTTAAAAACAAACTATTTAAATTTTTCATTTTTTTCCTTTTGAAATCCCAATTATCGGTATGAATGATCTATAAGTGAAAAAATAACACATAAGCTTGACACTAAAATTTTACTTTCTTCAATCTACATGTAATCTTAAAACATTTCTGAGTCTGGCAATTAAAATTCTCAGAATATTCTATTAGTAATAATTTATAACAATGTTTTGTTTTTAGTTTACAGAAACTCTATTGAAATATATTGAAAATGAATAAGTAAGCACATGCTAGAAACAATTTTAATTTATAATACAGAAAACGAAAAAGTGAAAAATATGGGTTTTTTAAATTTGCAAATAAGTTTTTGTCAAAAATAAAGGCTATTTCTTCTGTAAAGAATAAGACTAGAACCGCCTGCGGGGTGGTGGAGGGGGTGTTATCGGAGTTAAGAAGTTTAAAATAGTTTTAATAAAATTACTCCAGATCCCTACAGAACCTGGAGGCTAGGGATGCTACAGATATATCCGCTAAGTTTGCACAGATTGAATTTAGATATGGGGATCCAGAGACAGGTACAAGATTCATTTAAAGTGTTCGGATTTTTCCTAATAATAAGCTCTCTTCTCTTTGGGAAAAATGAAAAATTCTAAATTAAAATGAAAGTTATATACACTTTACCCTAAATTCTATGTATTTTTCTTAATTCAACGAATAAAAACCGTTAAAAAAAGTGTCCTCGCAAAAATACCTAACTTCTTGCCTCTGAGGTGGAAAATGATGTTCGAAAGGAGGTGAATGAATTTTCAAGAAAATATTCAGTATTTCCCTAGGGGATTCAGTCCTCAAAGTTTCTATTGATATTCCTTCAGTTGGTTCGTTTTTTTGTCGTTTTTCGCTTATATCTTCTTATAGAGTGAAAATGTGGTTACGTGTAAGAAAGAAAGCATGCTTTCTAGATTTTTTATTCTAAACATTTGCATTTCTTTCACTTAGTCAATTTTGACCATGAAATGAGATTTATTCAATTTTAACTTTAATAATTTATTTTTGGATAAGGGTTGTGGGCACAAGCTCACGCATACAAATAAAAACGAAATATCAATAAATCTATTTCCATTTTGTTATCAAAGTCTTCCTATTATTTTGTTCTGCTCAAGATTAGTTAAAAGTCATACACCCCAACGTTTTTTGTTGTGCCATTGTCTTAAAAACTTGACTATGGGTAACCCTGTAAACCAAAGCGCGGGCGAGATTTATTCAATAAATCACCCGAAAATGATCCAAAAACCATCGTCATTCCAACACGTTTGCTTTGGGATCATTTTGTATTTTTTTTAGGAAAAAGATTTGCTATTTAAAAACTATCCTAATCGAATAACTACACAACCCCCCAGTTCAGTAACCGGCCCCTGGAATATCAGAAAATGATAAGCCCCCGGGTAAAATTTCTGTATACACCCCTGAATGATAGGAATGTTGTAAATATAAAGTATAAAAAATACTGTTCATGAATATTAATTTTCCTTGATATTAGACATTCAACTGAAAAATATAGATCGGGTTGAAAATCCAGAAATTGGGAAATAATTGAAACTCTAACCGAAACATTGTGGACTATGATATGATATGATTTGATTGGTGATGTTCAGGGAAGACAATGTATGAAAAGTTAGTGACCTCCCATCCTAAGCGTGTTGACCTGTGGACCAGTTACGCCGACCAGCTTACGAGGATAGGAGATACTAGTGCAGCAAGGGCTCTCTACGCAAGGATTTCAACGCTAGGACTGCAGGTTCTTTTTTTGTACAGTATTTTCTCGAGTTGTTTGTCATTTTAAAACTTAATACTTTTCCCAATGTGCCTATTTTTGCAATTTCATACTCGTAGACAAGTTCTGATTACTACAGTTTAATCCAGAATTTAGGAGATATCTTAAGAATTTATACGATGTCGTCTTGGCAATTTTTCAATGGTTTTTTTTTTACTATTTGACCTACATCTTAGTAATTGTAAAAATAAATCAATACCCATGAAATATGCGGGATCAGTTAAAAGAGTTCCATATAATTATTGAGTTAAAAAACTAAATATCTGCAGCATTCCACTATCATTATTCAGTAGGTTTAAAAGAAGACATTTTATAACTTAGTTTGATGTCTCCAAAGTTTTGGATTAAACTGAATAAAAAATCAATGTAACCTCAACCTCAAATAGAAACACGTAATTTCATGTTACTCTATCTGAAAAAGTACCATCCGATTTACAACGGTTGAAATAATGTGAGAGTTTTTTATCTTGAAAATTGTGAAATTCTGAGGGGAAATCGATGGTAAAAATCAGCCAGGGAACGTTTTTTTTGAGAAATCTCAATTTAAAATCATTTTTTGTAAAAGGGATATCTCATTCATTCTTGGCTAAGCAAAATTTTTAGAATACTGTTGTCTGTCGTGAATTGGACAATGACATTCTGTGAACTCTAAACAATTCCTTTAATAACTTTATTCTAGGCTAAGAAGATGAAGTCACTGTTTGGTCGTTGGCTTGAGTTCGAGAAGGTGCATGGTACTGAGGAACAGCAAGGAGAAGTACGACGCTCTGCTCTTCAATACCTCAATGCTAAAAACACAGGAGACACCATGGACATCTAGATTTCCGGAAACTTTTTTTTTTGTAAAATTTATTAAATATATTGTTAACTTCAAAGAGTTCATTCAGATATTTATTGATTTTTCGGTCTGTATTAGGAACAAAAGGAAACTTTTCAGAACTGAACACTCAAAGCCAGAACAACTCGAGCTTTAATTGATCAGCTGGGTCAGATCAAGGTTTTTAGAGAACCGCTGTGAAAAGGTAAAATTACGCTTACATTTACACTTACAGTACCGTTGTAAATTATGCATTGCCATCTTCGCATTGAGGATCACTTGAAATTACGCTTACAGTCCCTTTTTTACTTAGTTTATACATACAATTTCCGCAAAGATTTTATTATTGTTCACCGTGCAAAGAAGAAAAGGATAACAGATAATAAACACATTGCTGAAAATGAACCATCAGGTTTCAAGTCGAAACGCCTAATTTTTTTCTTTGGAATATATTAATATTGTTATGTAATTGTTACCCTGGAGGGAGAACTGAGATGAAGAGATAAAAAAGGAACTGCGTCTTTGACACAAACTGAAGTTTTCTCATCCCTATGTCTTTGCAACCTGATGAGCTAAGCCTTTGATATTTCAAACTTAGATTACTTGATCCAACAGAATTCGTAGTTTGAAATATATAAGATCTACGTTATTGGGTTGCGAAGATGAAGGGGTTAGAAAATCTGAATTTGTGGAAAACATTCATTTTCTTTATCTTCAATTTAAAAGCGCACTTTGAATATCGAGATCAAGGAGATCAGGCAATTTGTATTTGGAGTTTCCAGCACATAACTTCCCAACTCAGGACATATGTTGAACCATTGTGCATGTGTTCAGTCTCCCATATCATATTAGATTATCTCTAATCTTTAACGCCAAAGTACGAACAAAATACTTGACAAATCTAGCATTTTCTGCAAAAAAAAATTCTAATAGCCTTATTAAATTTTTCAAAATGGTTTATTCTAATTAAATTTTCTGATTTGTCTCCAAATCGTAATTTAGACCCATTGACGCGGTCTAATTTGATATGGGACACCCTGTAAATGCAATAACGCACACTGAAACATTACGCACATTTCACAACTTATACCGCACACACTTACCATGAAATTGAATAATATACGCACTGGGGAGGCTTCTGTCAAAAATTATGCGTAACGCTAAACGGGCGCCAACAAAATGAAAACAGAACCTTTAGTTCAAAATCAACGAACGGCTTAAATTCGATAAAGAGGGTTAAACGTCACAGTTTTTCGTTACATGTATTTTCAGTTTAACTGAGTCTTGTACTCTTGAAATGGCTTTTTATGGGTTTTTCAATTTGAAAGTAGTTGAAACCTACTAAAATTCATACTAATTCATAATTAAAGGATTATTTTCAAAGCATATAATTTGTAAACATTTACATGATTTGTACACTTGTAACTCCCTTTCAGGCTGAAAGGGACTGACAAAATTCATACCGAGGGATAGACTAAATTCCACTCTAATATATATTCTATTCTCTTTGATTATTTATTATTTAAGCAATGGGTGAACTTTATAGTTATGAGAAATGATAATAGTGTTATGATAATAGGTTAGAATCGTAATAAATGCTCTTCAAATACAATAATATTATTGTATATGAATAAAAATCAATAAAGCAATGCACTGAGTTTCTCAAATATTCAACGAGTCGGTTTTTCTTACAATATATTTATATACAAAAGATACAAAAATACAAACTTTAAATCGAACGATACTTATACAAACTAAATATTATGAATCAAATCAGTTTCATCAAATAGGGGAATTCTTCAAGGGAACCTCAGTTTAAGGGAGCTGACGATCAACTAACTCTCCTCCTTCGATTTTGCTTTATCCTAGGATCGCATTTAACCCTAGCTACCCCGGGGTTGTTCCGCCCCCTCCCCAACGCTTGGGTCTTCAAGATAACGGAACATTCGGCGTCGCTTGGGTTATTTATAGAATCCAAATGCAAACTCAAATAAATCCGTTAGGATTCAAAATAGGACTCTAAAGTCCAACCGTAGGGTTAAAGAATGGGGGGGGGGAAGGGGGCATGATTCCCCTTGGTAGCTATGATCTCAGCGATCCAAAAAATCCTTGAATTGCTGATCGTAAAAGATCAACAAAACTCGCCCACTGTTACAATATCACCTCCCTTCTTTATAAGGGGAATACTGCAATTTTTAAAATTATACTTCTATAATTTTCAGACGACTTCTATTTTCTCACTTGGATACATATTTCTGATTGGGGGTGGGGCTACTCAAATTAATTGGTAGATATTTATATGCTCAAGAAGGAAGACCACTATTAAATATCGAAAAACTTCAGATCACTCACACATAAGAATGGTGAAGGGATTTTATTTCGCAACATATATTTTGAAAACTCGTGTGAAAAGAATAAATGTGTTAGTGCTGTAAACTCCCTAAAAATCTATATATTTGATAGTAGACCTTATTTTTTGAAGAATTTATCATTATGAGAGTGATTGAAAGGGTAATAATTAGAAAAATTCTAAAAACAAACCCAATAAATCCCAAAAAAGCCCAACTTCTGGTGGTTTTTTTAAGTGAGTTTTTTTTGGGCTGGGTCTTTTCATGCCAACCCTGTCCTTTGTATAGTATTTAGTAATGACATAAAGTGTATTAAAAAAGATTGAACGTCTTATGAGCTTTCCAAAATGTGGTCTACCTTCTTTCTATCTTATAAATTGACGGAGATATTAAACATTTGAACAGTTTTGTTGATTTTTAATTAACTGGAATCTGGACAAATTTCCTAATATCTCCATCTTGAAGGTGAAAAAAATGGTAGACCACATTTTGGAAATCCAGAGACTAGTAGTTTTCGCTGTTCAATGTTTTAATTGTAATACTACAAACTCATATTTACGAAATAATTCCGCTTGAAACAAAGACGATATAGAAGTCTTCATTTAATTCCCATGTTTAACTGAGCACCCTGTAAATTCCGTGCAGTCATCTCTAGAGATTAATCTATTGAGGGTCACCCTGTACGTAAATAAATAGACTGTATATACACAAAAACCCAACCTATAAACAGACTCAAAATGTAAATATTTCTATAGAACTATGATTTTATGGGGTTTCTTGTGGAAAATAGGTCAATATATTTACAAAAGGTTTAAAAAAACATTTTTACAAAAAAGTGGAATTTTGTTCCAAATTGTCCAGGTTTATTGGATGTATGATTCCATATCTATATTATCTGGAATTTGATGCTTTTAAGATAAAGTATTTGTGGTTGAGTTTACCCTTGTGTACAATAGGGAGGGAACCCCGGCCGCCATGAGCCTCCCAGATTTGCTATGTAGCACGGAGCCTCCGCTTTGCAGTAAAAAGTGTATACAAAAACACGCGAAATTGAAGATATTTAGAAAATAAATTCTAAAATGAATTCGATTTCATTGGTTAAAATTTTGTTAATAACATAAAAAAAATTAAAGAAGGAATAGTTTAAGTCAAAGATTTTAACAAATCAAATCGAATTCCACTTAAAAATTTATTTTAAAGTTTTAGTTTAAAAGATGTTCTGCATTTTCATAGCGGAGGCTCGGTGCTGCATAGTAAACCTGGGAGGCTCATGGCGGCCGGGGTTTCTCTGCCACGAGTACCCACACTCAGTAACAACTCTCTCTAGGTCACACCTCCAAGGTTATTCCCGTCAACTTAAAATAAGTTCAAATACTTTAAGTACAACAGATTTTCTTCAGAAGACGTTGTTTTTTTTCCAATTATTATTTGCCACTTTTTATGAAATATGAAATCAAATCTTATTCATGTTTGTGTAAATAGTTAATCATGAATTGATTTTGATTTTGCATCACTGCAAGATTTATTCAAAATGTGACGAAAAAAATCGACCATTTTTATGTTTGTACTTATTCACAATAAATTTGTCTCCTAAAATATCTGATAATTTTTAAACCTTGACAATAATATATTGTTATACTGTTTCATATTGCAGCAAGAATCCTTCGAACTAAGTATTTTGCTTTCCAGCTCACCCTTTAGGAGAGCTGGCAGCCAAAAGTAAATGAGGGGGGGAGGGGTGCTAGAAATGAGGGGGATGGGTTTCTCTGAGCTTGGAATACATTATATGAATAGAACTGATTTCTGATAAAAATCAAGATATAACAATGCTATAGTGCAGGTCGGTATATTTATGTTGGGTTGTAAATCGTTTTCTTTCGTTTTTCAGGCTTTTTGGGCTTTGTAAATATAAGAAGTTTAACAAATTTAAAAATTATTTACTCTAAAAAATTACTTTTCATACACTATGCCAAATTTTAACCGAGAGAAAAAAAAAGCAAAAATTAAACCAATCACAAATCAAAAACGATTACTTTTTGGTTCGATTTTCCTTTATAATAATAATAATGATTATGCAAGTTTATTAAAAGCTTACCGTTACAGAATACAGTTTTAAAATGTTGGAAGTTTCGTTTATCTATAAATATGTAAAGTAGTAATCACTATTTGGTTGTTTTTATATGTACGATCATAATTCAAACCCCCCTTGACCGATTTGCCTTAAATTTTGATCGGGAAAGTTTAGTTTCCAGGCAAAGCTAGGTTACCAAGCTAGTTCATAAAATAAAGCTCTTCACACATAAACATATATTTGTCATATATATGTTATTTATACCTGGCCAAACGGCTGAACCAAATTTAATGTTAAAAAAATTTTAATTGCTATTTAACTTCCATAGGAAACGCCAGGCACTTGTGCTAGTTGTTCTATAAGAACGCCGGGAACTTGAGCTAGTTGTTCTATAAAAAAATGCCCCTTATTTTTTTATTCTGCTAAAAAAATAAGAAGGTTTGCTCCCAACAAAAAATAAACCCTAAGTTAAAAAATGCCCATTTACAGTGAAACCCTTAATAACGAATACATCGAAAGAATTCATCAAATGTCGTATTCTTCACTTTCTGATAATGGAGTGTTGCAGATATTTAGTTTTTTAATTAAATGATTATATGGAACTCTTTAAAACTGTTCGCGCATATTCATGGATATTTATTTATTTTCACAATACTGAAATTTACGTAATATAGTATAAAACTCATTGAAAAATTGTCAAGACGACATTTGATAAATTCTTTTGAAGTATTCTTTATAAAGGGTTTCACTGTATATATTTCAAAAATGCCCTTAAATAAAAAAATTTGACCCCAAAAAAAAGATTTAAGATTTCCCATACACAAAATTCATCAAACTGAAAAAGCCAACCAAAAATTAAATTTGCCCGGAAAACAAAGATTTGAGATTTTCCCAAACTAAACAAAAATTTGCCCTAAAAAATTTGACCCTGAAATAAAGTTAAAGATTTTCCCCACAAAAAAATGCCCCAAACTGAATGAATGCCCCCAAATATATAAATTGTCCCCAAAAATATCCTGAATTGGTAAGGTAGTTTTTTCATGGTCAAGTAAAATACAATCTTTTTCTCCTATTTCCCTGAAAACTAATGATTGTCAAAACTATAAAATTTGAATTATCATGAAGTAAATATTTATTCTTACAGAGTATAGGAAAATATTGAATCTTCCTGAAAACAATAACTAAACATGCAGCTGTTTTATCATCAAAGTAATTTGACAGATTTTTTTCCCCAAACCAATTAAAGGCTGTTAACTCGTTGATCTCTGTACTCTGTACACTAAACATGATGAGGATTTTAACCTCTATAAGTATACAGATTACACACGTGCATTTCTATGCACTCATGAACTGCAATAAATAAGTGGTTCATGCACTTTTTTCGGATTAAAGTGATAGCTTATAGAATAATGGGTAGGTGTATAGAGCAAGGAGTAGGGGGGGGGGGGGTCAGGAAGTAAAAAATGGGTTTGGTTTAGTGACCATTTACAGATTAAAATGGATGATAAGATATTTAAGTTTGAACATTTCTTATTCTCTAAAATACATCTCAAAATATAAAAATGTCAGATTTCACAGAATTTTTACTTTTGATACTGGATCATTTGTTTTGGTATCCTTCAGTACACCATCTGGTATCCAAGTATACCCCCATGGTATCCAAGTATACCCCTGGTATCCAATTATACCCCCTGGTATCCAATTATACCCCCTGGTATCCAAGTATACCCTTGGTATCCAATTATACCTCCTGGTATCCAAGTATACCTCTTAGTATCTCCAAGTATACCCCCCTGGTATCCAAGTATACCTCTTGGTATCCAAGTATACGCACCTGGTATCTAAGTATACCCCTTGTATATCCAAGTACACCCCCCTGGTATCCAAGTATACCTCTTGGTATCCATGTATACGCCCCTGGTATCCAAGTATACCTGTAGTATCCAAGTATACCCCCCTTGTATCCAAATATACTCCCCTGGCATCCAAGTATACCCCCTGGTATCTAAGTATACCCCCCTTCTATTCAAGTATACCCGTAGTATCAAAGTATACCCCCCTTGTATCCAAGTATACCCCTAGTATCCAAGTATACCCCTTTGTATATCCAAGTATACCCTTTTGTATATCCAAGTATACTCCCCTGGTATCCAAGTATACCTCTTGGTATCCAAGTATACCCCCCTGGTATCCAAGTATACCCCCTAGTATCCAAGTATGTCCCCTAGTATCTCCCCTGGTACTCTGTATGGTATCTACCAGCCTGCAGTATGAAGATGGCTGCTAAGGAATGCGGACCTATCCTTACACCAGAACTCTCACAGTTTATATTTGTGACGTCATGTAACGTGACCAACCCTCTAGTTCTGTAGCTAAACTACAAAAGATAATGGTCAAAAATTAGTTGAAATGCCACTTCGAGGTTAATTGAAGGATCATTTAAAACTCTTTTTGTATTAAAATCCCAAATTTTCAGAAAAATTATATAATATCTTAAATTGAAGGATAGTTTTTGATGCAAGTAAAGTGACAAAGACGAAAGAAAATATTTTATTATTTGGATAAAATAAATTTAAAGTTTATTTTTTTCCATCCGGAATTGACTTTAAGCCTTTTTCTCATATTTCTTTTATGCTACACGTCTGTCCAGGATTTAGCATGAAAAAAATCAAAAAAATTAAATTTCTGAAGAGAATATATCCAACATTAATGGTTAGAGAACTACTAATGGATATAATTGTGAATTTATGATGGCACATAGGACGAAATTCAGATATTCATAGTATTAGATAAATATTCATAAATATAAGAGATATTTTATAGACATATCAGACATTTTATAGATTAAGAAGTTTCAGAGATATCGGACTTTTAATCTTTATCTCGCAAAACAGCTGTCAATGTAATGTCCTACATAGCTTTAAAATATATCTTATGTGTGAAAGGTTCATCGTTGAAAGATCTTATCAATGAAATATTCATCCATGAAAGAACAGTCTATAAAAAAAATATTCATCTTTGAAAGGTTTCATCTTAGCAATATTCATCTTTGAAAGGTCCTATCTTTAAAATATTCACGTTTGAAAGTTTCTATTCAAACAATATTCATCTTTGAAAGGTCCTGTCTATTAAATATTCATCTTTGGAAGGACCTATCAATGAAATATTCATTTTTAGAAAAAACCTTCCAAATCATTTATATCTTTTTTATCTTATTTTATAAATGGGTTTGGTTTAGTGACCATTTACAGATTAAAATGGATGATAAGATATTTAAGTTTGAACATATTTTGATAAATTAACAAATATGAGTTGGCAGCCAATATAATATACAGACAGATAATAACACATTGCAGTTATTACCTCTCATAAACAAGTTTAAGAGAAAAAATGAAAGTTCCTCAGATTTCATTCTAGCAAAGGAATCCTTTGATGCGTTGTAAAAAAATATTTGTTTCCGAAATAGATTTTATTAAAAGGTGATTTCAAAACTGGTTGTTGAAAAGTTCACAAAGTTGTCAATTTCTGGTCGTTAGCTATGCATTGGCAAATCGTTAACAACGATTAGTCTGTACGCGCGATTAACATTTTTAAATTTTCATTTAAAGGATGAAGCTTTTTCGTGGTCTATAATCAAATTCCCATAATTGTACTTAGTTTACAAAATTAATTAAATTTTTGACTCAAATCCCTTTTTTATTGTTCGTTGGTCTACAATTACTCCAATCTGATAAAAGTCAGTTTAAACATAATTTAATTTTCTGAAAAGTTTTTAGAGAGTTGAACGAAATAATTATGTCAGTGACGGTTAGCCAAAGACCAGACATTACACCTCCCTCCCCTCCCCTCCCCTCAACATCAATTTCTTCCCCCTAACATCCACCCCTCCATCCATTTTCCCCCTCCCCTACCCACGCCCATCCATTTCATCCCACCCATCCATTTCTTCCCTTTCATCCCCTCCGCCCACTCATCCACTTCTTCCCTCCCCTCCCGGCATCCCCTCCCATTCTTCTCTTCCCTCCCTTCCCCCCCTCCCTACCCCCCTGCATGTCTCTCTTCAAACAAGAATGAGCATTGAGCAAGCTATACATCATAAAACCTCCTGGCTATTGATCGATTAAGTGTTAAAAATAAAAGATTAACAATTAGAGAAGGAACAAATATTTATACAGATAGAACATAATTTTTCAGCACACAGTCCTTCCTAGATCATAGATGTCTTCCTAGATCATAGCTATCTTCCAAGATCATAGCTGTCTTTCCGGATCATAGCTGTCTTCGTAGATCATAGCTGTCTTTCTAGATCATAGCTGTCTTCCTAGATCATAGCTGGCTTCCTAGATCATAACCGGTCTCAGTCCTTCCCAGATCATAGCTGGTCGCAGACCTCCTTAGATCAAAGCTGTTCTCAGTCCTTCCTAAATCATAGCTGTCTTCTCTCTTTAGTCCTTCCTAAATCTTAGTTTTGTTTACTCTTTAGTTCACTATAACATAGCTGTCTTTACTCTTAATCCTTCCTATAACTTAGGTGTCTTTACTCTTTAGTCCTTACTATAACTTAGCTGTCTTTACTCTTTAGTCCTTACTATAACTTAGCTGTCTTTACTCTTTAGTCTTTCCTATAACTTAGATGTCTTTACTCTTAATTCTTCCTATAACTTAGCTGTCTTTACTCTTTAATCCTTACTATAACATAGCTGTCTTTACTCTTAAGTCTTTCCTATAACATAAATTTCTTCACTCTTTAATTTGTCCTTCCTAGGTCATAACTGCGCTTTACTCTTTACTCCTTCCTAACTGTCTTTACTCTTTAGTCCTTCTTAGGTCATAACAGTCTTTACTCTTTAGTCATTCCTAGGTCATAACTGTCTTTATTCTTTATATCTTCCTAGGTTATAACTGTCTTTACTTTTTCGTCCTTTCTAGGTCATAACTGTCTTTACTCTTTAGTCCTTACTAGGTCATAACTGTCTTTATTCTTTATATCTTCCTAGGTTATAACTGTCTTTACTCTTTAGTCCTTCCTAAGTCATAACTGTCTTTACTCTTTAGTCCTTCCTAGGTCATAACTGTCTTTATTCTTTGTATCTTCCTAGGTTATAACTGTCTTTACTCTTTCGTCCTTTCTATGATATGACTGTCTTTACTCTTTCTTTGGTCCTTCCTAGGTAATAACTGTCTTTACTCTTTCTTTAGTCCTTCCTAGGTCATAACTGTCTTTACTCTTTAGTCCTTCCTAGGTCATAATTTTCTTTACTTTTTATTCTTTCCTATAAAAAAGCTGTCTTTACTCTTTAGTCCATCTTATACCATAGCTGTCTATACTCTTTAGTCCATCCTACTATATAATTTTCTTCAAGTTGTCTCTCCACCTTTACATTCTCTATCAAACCCTATCCATACCCCCCACCCCCACTCTCCTGTTATTGCTTGAATGCATATGGTCTAAACAAGCCGCAATTAGATTATAGTGTACTGTGTACAGTGGATCCCAAATATATAGTAAATACAACCACAAAGTAATCTAAGAATCCATATTTCCAGTGAAACCAACTGGGTTTACCATATCGTTCAGATTTTATTATACCATTTAACCGATGAGAGACTGAGTGTTTACCTAAGGAGAGGGGATAAAGGGTTGTTAACACGACCTGGTGACGTTTTAGAACAGTCCAGGGACCAATTTAAATTTCTACAAAAATCTGATCAATTTCGTATTTAGAACATTTTTTTGATTAATTTTGGACCCCCTTTAGTATCTGGATGCAGTGAAGCACCTCCTGTGAAAAGTCAAAATAATTAGTGATGTATTCATACATCATGCATACTCCATTCTGTTCATGGGATAGGACAGGCTTAAGGTGATAAGGACACATATAGAATACATAGGACAAGGTAGGAATTCAACATGCTGTGTGTTGGGCCTTTCATTTCAAAGATAAAAAAGATTCCAATGTATTTTATCAATGAGACTATTCATGAACAGAGAAAAATCTGTTTTCTTACATCCTAAAATTAACAGTGTTCTATATATCAAAAAAGGAGAAAATGAAAAATTTGTTCTTAAAATGTCTTTCTATAAAATGTTCTAACATCATAAACAGGTCCTAACTCCTAAGTAAAGGACAGGGCCAATGCATACAGACCACGTACATGAATGTGGATTGGTTTGGATAGGATTGAATAAGATTGGATAGGATTGGATAGGATTGGATAGGATTGGATAGGATTGGATAGGATTGGATAGGATTGGATAGGATTGGATAGGATTGGATAGGATTGGATTGGACTGGATAGGATAGGATAGGATTGGATAGAAATTGGATAAAATTGGATAGATTTGGTAAAGGATTAGATAGGATAGGATTGGATAGGATTGGTTAGGATTGTATAGGATTGGATAGGATTAGATTAGAGATAGGATTGGATAGGATTGGATAGGATTAGATTAGAGATAGGATTGGATAGTATTGAATAGGATTAGCTAGGATTGGATAGGAAGAATCGATGGGATTGGATAGTATTGGATAGGGTTTCATAGGATTGGATAGGATTGGATAGGATTGGATAGGATTGGATAGGATTGATAGAATTGGATAGAATTGGATAGGATTGGATAAAATTGGTATAGGATTAGATAGGATAGGATTGGATAGGATTGAATAGGATTGGAAAGGATTGGATAGGATTAGATTAGAGATAGGATTGAATAGGATTGGATAGGATGAAAGAATGATATATGACAAAATGGTTTAATAGGATTCAACAGAATAGATTCGTTTAGGAGAGGTTGGAATAGAATAGGCTGGGATGGGATATATATAAAGAATAGATTTGATGGCAAAACACTAGCAATCAATAAATCACACCCAGTGTCTACCAAATAAAGAGATAGATTGGAAAACTCAGAAATAACACACTTTTATAAGTAGCATAATTTCAACCCTTGACCTTGGTTTAAAGTTGCAAAAATCGATGCATTTTGACTGAAATTTGAACTCAGCTAAACATTGCAAAGTTCAGACAATTACAACACTCCTCAGTCCATCAATAAATTTCCAAGCTTGCCAATAGGCTCCAGGTTTAAATAGATAAACAGAGATAAACAGATAGATAAACAGATAAATAAACAGATAGATAAACAGAGATAAACANTCAACACGACAAACTAAATTAAGTTGCACGTAAGATTAAAAATCTTGTATGTTTTCAACACGACAAACTAAATTAAGTTGCACGTAAGATTAAAAATCTTGTATGTTTTCAACACGACAAACTAAATTAAGTTGCACGTAAGATTAAAAATCTTGTATGTTTTCAACACGACAAACTAAATTAAGTTGCACGTAAGATTAAAAATCTTGT